TCTTCAGCGAATTGAATATTAAACGATAATTTTCTCTATATATAATACATTAATAATTAATATTAAATGTCATTATATTGTCACATGTCAGATTATCTAATGTCTAATCCCGAATCTATTTAAAAACAAATTAAAGATGTTTCAAGATATATGTAATAAATTATTAAATCAAAAGAACATAAATCATTATAGTTTGAATTAGAGAGAAAGAGAGGGAAATTTCTCTTTTATGATTAAATCTTTCTGTCAAAATTCAATTGCATTTGTGATCAATGACAATTTAATTCTAGAACTTAATTCTTTCTAGATCAAATTTTCTCGAGATTTGTCTCATTTTTATACAAAAATAGTTCTAAAAATATATAAAAACGATCATAATTATTTTAATTGAATATTTTTATATTTTTCGGATCCGAATATGTCAAAGAAATAAATGGAATGCGAAATAATGTCTCGAAAAAAAAATATGATCTTGAAATATTCTGATGCTAATGTTCAAACATTTCATCGACATCGTCGTTTATTGCATTATGTTCTCGTACGAACGTACGCATGTGCGTGCCTTAGGGTCCCCTTTCTCGGAGAATAAGAAGAGTGCGTGCCTCTTGGTAATAATAACCATTAAGGCGTGAGAGAATGTAGGGGCTGACGTCATCCATTCAACATTCGTAATCCATCGAACACTGTCTTCTCGAATAATCGATGCAAAGTCGATACGCGATTTGATTGGTACCGTCTTTGAAAATATCAGCAAAGATTCAGAGCGATATCGATTTGTCGCGAGAAAATAAAAGATACTTTTAATGCTTTTCACTCATTCAAATAAAAGCATTGAAAAGAGAAAAAAAATTTACATATATATATCTTTTCTCATGAAAGCTTTTATATCGATGAGTAAACGATAAAAAATTAAAAATAATAAAGATAATTTAAATATATCTTCGATATATTTATTATTCACGGAAATTGGTAGAATCTTGGCAAGGTAAGAATTATTGCGAAAGCAAAACACGGTGGTTCTCAGAATAATCTCTTTTACGGAATTCGAGCTTGTGTCGAAAAATTTCGTAACTTTCACCCTCTCGATACGATATCATTTGCTCACAAAAAGGGAAGGAGACTTATCGGAACAAACAAAGGCATGGGAAGTAAAGGAGAAAGACGCGATCGATAAGAGAAACTCTGGGATTGTTAAGATGTTTCCTTTAACACCCCATGTGCTACCATTACTTTCTCGTCATTCGACGATTGATTACAATGTATGCTGTTTGAGAACTTCCTCAGAAAATTAGTAATGCAATAAAAAAATCTCCCTATAATTTATATGTACATCCTTTTACGAGGATACTAAAAAAATATATAAATTAAAAAAAATTTTTATATATACCTCTATATTATTACTTTATATTTATTTCATCTATTATTTGAATGCAAAATTGCCATACAGTAATTAATTCAATAGAATCAGAAAGATTCGCGTTTAAATGTTTTTGTTGATCTTAGTTAATTTAATTCTATTATAATTTCTTTTTACACTAAATATTTTATTTTTTATTTACTAGTATATATAATAGTATATAAAACTAGTATATAAAATGTATATACTTATAATAATAATATAAAAGTATATATGTATCAATTTATATATTAATAGAATCACAGATTTATGATAAATACTGCACATTGTGACTAAAACATTCTTGTTCACGCTTACTTTACATGGAATCCAAATAACTCCAGCTGCAACGGACGTCTCGTAAACGGAAGTTGGCTTTGAGCTCCGATCCAACGAAAATTCCACGAACTACACGGTCTCCTCCTCATCGAAACGAGAAGTTATTTCTGCTCTAACTTAACGCTCGCAAAACTGCAATGCTATAATCGCGGATGCACTCTGACATTTTCACGACGTGAAGAATGTCCTTTGCGCTTCCTGCATATCAGTAATTTACGAGCGTTCTTTTTCATTTGTGAAACGAAACCCGACTGTAACCGCATACCTTATCGTACTCATTGTTAAAATACACGTGAGGACACTGCGGCGAGATGACGTGTCCTGCAGATGTGATCAGGTATATCGTCCTTTTTTCGGGCGTGTACTGTCACGATGATATCACTGCAACGAAAAGCGTGCCCATAATACAAAACAGATTTGCGGTTATACACGCGCACGTCCGTTACATTCCCTATAGAACTCATCAGTATGGTACTCGGATCGTTAAGAGAATAAAGTCGGCCGCAATAAAGGCGGGGCTTTTCTATTTCGCAAGATGAATTTACGTTGATTTACAGACATAAGATCTATCTTGAGTATCTCTGGTATATATAAATATTCCGAAACCATCGATTTTTTGTTCATTTTTATTCATTTTTTATTTTTTATTTTTTTAGTTTAAATTTAGGCCAATTTGTTTTGCATAAATGTATATCATAGAGCACTATTAATTTTCATGTAAAATATTAAATAAAAAAGATGTCTTTAGAAGTAGAAATAAACACCAAGAGATCTTATCTTTTATATTATCTTCGTTTTGATAGGATTTTAATTGAAATTTAGGAAGCAAAATCTTTAGCAAAATCTATATATTCACATAAATGCGAGTAAATAACTTAAATAAATAGTATTAGATATTTAAAAAATGAAGAGAAAATTTGAAAGATGAAAAAAATAAATTCTTGTCCAATGATCTTGTCTATAAAACAAAATTAGGAGGAGGAAGGAAAGACCATTTTTTTCTAAAAGTTTGTATTTTAAACTTTCCTTTTGACTTCCTAAGAAAGTATAACCGTGACAAATTTATCGAATAATGGAAGGCACATTAGAGGGCTAGGTTTAAAATGCCAGACCTTAACGAGACCATCAGTGGCAAACCACACCTTAATGTATTTCGTGTACCTAATCAATTTGGTTTATTGTTTCGTTTCTTCAAGCAATCTCATTTTTCAATTAAATTCATAATGAACCAACATCTTACTTAAAATTTAGCAAATATTTTTGAAACGATAAGTACCTTCGCAAATAGGGACACAACAATTTTGATGAAATTGATGAAAGGCTAATTTTAACTAATGAAAACTTATTCTTTTTTTGTATCTCATTAATATTTCACATATCATTGATATATCACATCCATAATCTTTTACGTCTAGTTCAATACATCAGTTTTTCTTTTTTTAAATAAACTATGTAATTATTTTTTTCAATATTTAACTATAAAAATTTATAGTCACAAATTCGAGTAAATAACTTAAATAAATAGAAAATTTTTCTATAAATAGGAGAAAAGCACGAGATCTTTTTTGAAAACAAAAGTAGATACTCCGCGGTTGATGACACGTATTGCAAAATGAATATAAGCTATGAACGCAATGTTCCATGACATTAATCCAACTGGCAGAATGCGTGGGTGTAGCTCTATAAAGTCACACGGATTGAGCAATGGGACACCGTGGCGCCTATTCGCGTGTACAGAATAGAGCGTTGCTAAGGGAGAATGGAGAGATTGGGGCTGCAGCTTTTCTGAAACACGGGGTGCTAGCATGTAAGGGATGGTCATTAATCTAGATTCATGGGGTTCTTTCTGTGTAATCGCATTTTACTTCGCTTACGAAAATGCTCGAACAGTTATATAATTAAATGCTTAAATATAATTATTTAAACATTCGTTGTTTTATTCCATTAGTTGATTTACTTATAATTCTAGAAATTACATTCGATATATTTATATTGATTCTTTGCAATATAATCGTTAAATAAATGTGAATAAATGTGCCCCTTAAATATGGCTACTCCTTAATTAATTTTTTTATTTAATAACCTTTATCTAAAATAATTTAAAGATTTATTTAATAAATTTTTAATAAAATTAATATAAGATTTATTTAATAAATTTTTAATAAATTTAATATATATAGAGAGAGAGGATTTTATTAAATTTTAATACGACATTCCAATAGGCTTTGTTACTCTTTTACGTTGGTTGAATTTACTTGACAACATATACAATTGTTAAATTTGCAATTATGCACATTCAAGCGCGTTCAGAATCTATTAATCAATAATTTTCAAAATTATCAATAGGCTGAAATCAATGGAGTAGCAGACTTCAATCACGATAAACGATGATTTAGCGGTCTTAATTCGCGAAATTGGCGGATGCTTTTTGCCGTTCATTCGACGAAGTCAAACAGACCACCAGGTCCGGTTGACTTGCACGACCTATTTTTTTCCGAGCGCAGGGTGTGGTTACGGCTAAAATCGAACGGCGTGTATAACGCGTTAGCGTGAAGTTGTGCCCTGTGAAAAACGAGGCAAACTGATGGCAAACACGCAGGGGGAGCTCCTTGGCCGATCTAATTGCATAGCAATTTCGCTCTTCTTCTGACCTCATCGTCGCGAAACTGGCAGGAAACTGTATTCATTGTTGAAAAGGATGGTATGGGGTCGCGTATTATTAGAAAGCCAGAGTGTGCACGTTTATGTTCCGACCCGAAATCGAGCACGGTCGTGCACTAGAAATCTAATTTCGACTGCTGCATCTCTTCGCTTCTCGCCCTTCTTTTCACGGAAAGGGATATCAGTTTGCGGTTTTGACGAGAACTGGAGAACAGATTGCAGCCGGTTGGTACGGGGAGATTTAATTGATTGCGTTAATAAACTGTCACTTTAAGAAAAATGTTACCGATTATGTATCAATAACGATATTTAGTTAATACCCAAACAATCGTAGCAAATTATTATTTCTATCATTATTATAAATATAATTTTATAAAAGATAGAGACATTATATTGATTTTACATAAATTATCATAAATAAATATTGATAGTAATTTTACTGAGATTAGATTACATTATTTTTCGCTTAATTTCAACTTATTATAAATATTAAGCAACACAAAAATCGTATTTATGTAAATAATTTAATAAATTTTAATAAAAACTAAAAATTCGCGTTTCATAAATCTCATGTTAAAATTCTCTCTCCTTTTTTCTGTTTTAGCTTTGTGCAAATCTACTAAGAGTACAGAAGAAGATGTGAATTATGAGGAGGATACACCTGTTGAAGAGGACGATGAGGATCAAGGGGAAGATGACAATAACGACACTGCGGAACCGCAAATCTTATCGCAGGGACAGAGTATTCGCGTACAAGCCGGAAGTACCGTTATACTACCCTGTCAGATGATTCACATAGGTTTGTAGAGCAGTGATCTCTTTTAATCGCCATTCAATGCGACACACTTTCAAAAAGATTTCTCTATCCTTATGAAATTATTTTTAAAAGTATGAATATTTCACTAAGGCTTTCTTTAAAATAAGAGGAATAAATTGTTAGAATGAAATGAAGAAAAATTTCAAAGATATAATTATATATCTCTATTATACATGTATTTTCTACGTAAGCTTTAATCATGATTTTTTACACGACAATATCAATAAGAAATTGATATTAATAATACATTCTGAAAAATTTCTATCGCGTACTGTTACAGAAAATTATGCGTTCACGTGGTCGAAGGATGACAAGATACTATACTTCGAGACACTGTCGCATATAAAAGAGTCAAACAGGATCGTACTATTACCGAACAATAGCTTGGCGATCTACAACGCGACAGTTAGCGACTCTTCCGATGATTACAAGTGCAATATCCTCCGGCAACCCGAAAGCATACATTTAACTCACCGTTTGCGGGTCGATCCCGAAAGGACGCATCAACAATCTGCAACCTCACCACCTCCGCAACATTCACATAAAGGAATCATACGTGTGATACCTCCTTCGCGACTAATCAACGCGAAACAGGGCGACACTATCCAATTCGGTTGTGAAACAGATACGCAGCCACCACTTGAAATTAAATGGTTTTTTATGGTAAAATATTGAAAGCTATAACAAATATTATTAACAATATTATTAAAATAACTATGATAGTATCACTTCTATTATATTATTTTATAAAAATATATACAGTTATAATATTAATAATTATACAAATATGTTAAAAGAAATATACTGACGGATGTAAAAAAAGAAGAGACAAAACTGATTTTATTTCTTTTTTCGATAGAGCAAGAAAGTGAATGGCGACGACCCCAACGTGATTTTGAAAGACAATTACATCACGATAAAAAAAGTAAACAGCTCTCATAGTGCTCTGTTTCAATGTCTCGCGGAGGATGGTTCAAAAACGCCGGCAATGGAAGCGATCAATGTCATAGTACAATGTAAGTTAATTGTTCATTTCCGATACGGCTTAAGCTTTTTTCAACCTTTAATAATATCTATTTTGTAAGGTCTATCTTAATATTATTTATTGACTTTTTTTTACTTTATGATAGATATACCCGAGATAGAGGTGAAAAAAAATAAAGTTCACACCGGCGAAAGTATCGAATCGGAAATGCAGTGCATTGTGAGCGCCTATCCTGAGGCTATAATAAAGTGGTATAAAGATGGTAAGGAAATTACGCATAAGAAGGGGTCGGTAGTAATGCATCATAGCACTACGAAAGGCAACAAGACTAGACATATTTTGAAAATTTTGCACACTTCGAAGAAGGACTTTGGCGAGTACAAATGTCGCGCACAGAATCTTATTGGTGAAGATACAAAATCTATCGTTTTGACAGGTAATCACTATTATATTAATATTTATATATTAAAAAAGATATAAAATTTGTTAAAAGATTTTTTTATTTGCAAAATGTATTTTAGGTGTACCCTCGCAAGCGAAAGTTGTTAGCGCCGAAGTACTCGATGATAATAATGCCATTATTTTAAAATGGCATCTGGAGAGTTATTCACCGATCAAAGAATACAAGGTAAATAAATTTTTTGCGATATGCATCAAGAATAATAAAACTGAGAATAATAGAATAAGTCTTAAAATTCATTGAAATATGTGGCAAATATATGATATAATTCTTTTACTTACAGCTGCAATACCGCCGCAACGGCGAGGAGACATGGAACTTTGTTGAGCCCGAAGTCAAAGAAGGTAATGGAAATCAATTTATCGTGGAGCATCCGATCAAAGACCTTCAGCCTGGATCTTATGAGGCAATCCTTATGGCTAGAAACGTATTCGGGTGGTCTATGCCATCAGAACCGCATTCGTTTACTGGTGGTACATATCTTCTTCTTTATGCATATTATTTATGCATGCTATTCAAAAAAAACGTTATACATATATTTTTAAATACTTTATTTTCGTATTTCAACATTTTTAATTTTTATTAAAACTTTCTTTTTTTAATTTTTTTAGATTATCCGTCTGAGATGGCACAAAAAGGTACACACGAAACACATCCATTGTTTTCTACGTGCACACGCGAATACAGAATATTTATTATCTTTAAATCGCTATTTTTTAATTTTATTCATATTTACAGAGGGGGGAAACTCGGCAGCTATCCAAACTTCCAGAGTTCTAACGTTGATCCTAGTCGTTTTATCTTGTGCCTTCACAAGCCTGTAATTCTTTACTTAATTTTTTAAACTATGTAGGTAAGTACAATGACGTTGTCATAATCTATATTATTGAAACAGTTTCAATAATTTATATTATTGAAATTAGAACAAATTTCTTTAAATAACTAATTTATGTTTATTTCATAGGTAATTTGCTACAGCCAAAGCAAACACCAGCAGACGCCATGGTGGATTTATTAGCGTAGGAACACTAAAGGGTGAGGGGGGACTCGACGCACGTAGAAGTTTCATTGAAATCTTATTTAGTGCTTTTAACGTGCATCTTATTATACTATGCTATCATAAGTAAACATTTTTTTTAATAGGCATTATCGCGATTCATTAATGTACATACAATTGTTACGTATGTAATTGAAATTTTTGCATATAACTCTCCAGGTATTCTACTAAGATGCGTTGTAAAGAAAAAATAAGCATTTTAATTGTACTCCATAAAATTACGAATAATTATTAAGGATGTATTGTACTACAAAATTTTATATGTATGATGTGTGTGTGTATATATATGTACATATTAATTATATAAATCATTATAACAACATATTAGAATTAAAAGCTAGCAAATTATAGAAAACATTATAGAATGTCACTTTCTCTCTGTTTCTCTTTTTCTCATATTCGCTCCAATTACTCTTTATTCATATATGTATATCCAATGTATATGTACACATATATGCATACACACACACATAAATACACACACACACACACACACACACATATATATACATATATAATTTTGAAGTACAATACCCTCTTAATAGGTATTCATGACTTTACGGAGTAATTAAAATTATTATTTTTCCTTTATAATGCATCTTAATGGGACCCTTAGGCGAGTTGTATGCAAAAATTTTAATTACATAACAATTGTGATGGACAATTGAAGATATGTATGTATGTATGTGTGTGCGTGTGTGTATATATATATACACACACACACACACATAATATAGTATTCACTGTATATGCGTTAGCTCACAGAGAGACATGATCATATTATTATAATTTATTTTTGTATGTTTAAGATTATATTAGAGTCGTATTGAAAAATGTTGCTTGATGTCCATATGTGTACACTGATTACTTCTGAAAGAATCGTGTACAGAAATGGCATCTGGTCACTGTCCGCAATGCACGTGTGAAAAAAGCATGTACCTAAAATATGTAATAACAGTAAAGAAAAATATAAGCGTTATAAAGAATACTATTATTACGATACGATTACGGCGTGTATAACCGAGTCAACAAGCAGAATATAGTTGATTATATTGCAATTATTATATAAGAATTATAAATATTAATGCACACATGTTTGCGTATGTTTGCTCCCAACGAAAAAGCAAATTATTTTTTTTTTATTTACATTTATATTTCGAAAGTGTATAATGCAATGTATGGATAAAGAATGATTGAGGCAAATATGAGGAAGAGAGAAAATGACATTCTATAGTGTTTTCTATAATAATTTGCTAGCTTTTAGTGCTAATATGTTGTTATACTGATTTATAATTGTTACATGCAGTACTTTTATAGATAAGCGTAATCCTATGAAAAACTGCCCACTATAGAAACAGTGTGCTCGTCATTAGATATGAATTATATTATACATCAAACAGCCATTTTTGTAAAGTATTCAGAATATTGTTTACACTACATCTACATATATAATTTTAATATTTGTTTTAAAAAGACGATGTATTTTATGTTTTAAATTATAATTGATTAATAATATAATTAATTATATTTACGTAATATTGTATGCTTATTATACCACACAATTGAATTACTGTCTAAAATAGTACTTTTCGCGATGTTAATAAAATTTTTCAATTACATTTATAAAAGTTATAAATGTTTATGAACAATATCACTAAGTACAATTTTATACTTATTATATCGAAAATATATTATTTTTACGTTTTATGTACAATTTTATCTACAAATTTTAATTTAAAATAGAAAATTTATTTGCGAACAAAGTTATTGTAACCATGAAAAAGATACAACACAAAACAGTCAAATTTTTGTTACCATTATTATTAATTAATTAATCTAATAGTGATTAAAAATTTTCTAAATGTACATTTATAATAATAAAAAAATATATTTAATACAAATATATAATAAAAAAATTTATTTAATATAAATATATTAATTAGACTTGAAGTTATTTTATATGTAATACATATTTTTCACATTCTTATGTTTTTTCATATTAAAATTTTATATTGAACATCGTCTTTTTAAATTAGCTGTGCATATTTTTTATATATGTACATATTTATAAGTTTATTTTAAGTGTCAGTAATATATATACATAAGAACAGCTATTATTTAGTCGAAACGCTTACAATACATTATATCGATATACACACCTGAGCATATAAATATAGCTTCTACTGTTGCCTTAATCAATGTAACATGTACAATCAGAAATAATGAAAGATACATATATATTAATTTATAAGATTATATTGACAAATGAGTAATAAACGTAGTACATCAATACATTGCGCATTTTATTATAATATTAATTTATTATAAATTATTAACATATATTGTCACACAAAGAAAATTTGTATATAATATAATTTAAATTCCAAATTTTATTATGTTAAATATAATGATATTTGCTTTTCAACTAACTGTACTTTTGTGATTCTAGAATAAATATATATTTTGCAATTTACTTTTGGAAATAAAATAAGAATTATACTTTTCTTGAGTAGTTACTTTTTGAAATAAAAGAAGAATGAGAGATATCACGGCGCGCTTTTAAGCGATTTCTTAGAGCAATACGTCCTCTGTGGACAAAAATGTGGCAACATGAAGCCAATGTCCACGAATGTTTTCAAAGGATAACATGCATAACTACACAATTTCTGGTTCTGTTCCGCGCTACGTGTACGAAATTCCTCTCTAGAGTTCACATATCACATATGCGCGGTTTTCACTTGTGTTACGTTATCCCCATCATTACGGTTGCGCGTACTTGCTTGCCTCGATTCTAGCATCACTGGCAACACGCGCATTATATGTAGGATATACATCCCATATGTACTGACGATTCGTTGTACAAACCGACAGAAATTTGTACTCGATATTCAAATCGTTACTAGTTGCTGCAATTTATTGTTTCGTCTAATCATCTTTACTTTCATCTTTTTTTCATTTGGGTATGTAAACATGCACTATAGTTTTTTTTCAGCAGTTGTTAGACGGTTATAACCTGTGATACATGTACTAGCTGAAATTGTTTTTACTAATGATATTAGAGACCGGTAATTTTTGTGTTTGTATGTATATGTTTCTGTTTTTATATTTATTAATTTATTTACATTACATGTTGCATTTTTAACTCCTGTAAAAATTTTGTAATTGAAAGAATTTATACTTTAAAATATATTCTTTAATGTACACGTAAAAAGGATAAATTGCATACGTCTAGATATGTGTTAAATAATGTAAACAATAACTTTAAGAAATTTAACTTGTATAGAAGAAGAAAAAAGCATTATTGCTACAATAAACTTTCATCATTGTTGTTATTGTTACAGTATATTTATATCAAATGTATTTAAAATCATCAAAAAATGAATTATTTTTCTAATATAAATTATATTTCTGTCTTATGCAATATATTTTAAACTAAAATTCATATATTATTAAGTTATTAAATTTTACTTGTCTAACAATATTATATTTAAAACATATAATTGATGTTAATTATATGACAAATATGAAAACTATAGATAACCTTTATATTTTTTACATGCAACTATAGATAAAAATGTCTGAACAATTCCTGGGTTGTATTGTTTCTGTAAAATGCATTGACGATCTTACTTATCAAGGCAAAATTGTCGATCTTAATAAGAATAGCCTGACACTGGCAAAAGCATTTTGCAATGGCATACCACATACTTCCATTGTTAACTTAAGGTAAGTTTGCACTGTATATTTATTTGATACATTATACAATAATAAGTCTTATCTTGTATATATATATATATATATATATATATATATATATATATATATATATATATATATATAGTTGATTTTGAATCTTTATAGATTGCAGTAATACAATGTTAATACAAGTATGTTTATTACATATAGTTATTCTTACAGTGTAAAGGATATACAAAAGCTCGAGATTATATCAACTGAAGAATCAGGAACTAATGTGAATGATATACAACCACAGAGTAAAGTGATTGTAAAGAGGCCAATCGCAAAAAGGGCAGGACGATCGATTTCAGAATGCGTTCCTATACTACAAGGGCCAAGTTGCCCACCACAAATGAACTTAAAGAAACCTGTCGAGTCTAACCAGCAGCAAGTGGAACAAACTCCAAATGGAAAGATTGCTCCAGGTATACATTGCTGTATATATAATTTATGTACTTATGTCTGCACATATGTATGCACATAATTATATTATGACACTTTTTAAATGTTGCAGTTGAAAATAATATTTCTAACAATAAATCTATTTCCAAAAGATTAACTCACAAGCAAAGAGCATTGGAAAGAGATGAGCATACTTTTGGTACTCCAATTGATCAGTCTCTACAACAAGACTTTGATTTTGAAAAAAACCTAGCATTATTCAATAAAGAGGTTGGATTTTATTTTACTATTTAAAAATTTACATTATATAAAAGAGAAAATATGAAGTATCTAATATTGCTCTTTTATCTTACTGTAATTATAATTTATCATATAGGCTGTATGGCAAGAAATAAACTCATTGAAACCGGATATCGTTAGGCAGTCAGAAAGCAATCGGGGTACTACAGCTATCTATCGACCTGATGAAAACATTCTCGTATCTGAACCTACAGTGCTCAGACAGATTGTGGTGCCTTGTCCTAGTGAAAAGGAATATGTGACAGATAATGGTTTAGTAATTCCTAGCATCACTCTTAATCTCCATCGGCAATTAATAGGTGCAGCAGATAGATTGGGAATAAGTTGGGAACGTAGGGTTTGTATTGATATTTTTAATTATTTATTTTCATATAATGGAGAAATTGTAAATAATAATTAGAAAAGTTTTGTAAAAGAAAGGTGTAGATTTACTTTTACCATATATCTAAATAAATATAGATTGACGAAACGATTTATTTTGATAAGAATGTTATTACAATTTAAAATGATTTTCAAAGACTGATATATTCGCTTAATTATTCACATATATCAAGCTTTATTATCTTTATTAAATATTTCAATTAATGTTTTCTTTTAAAGGTGGAACTTCTCGGTCGTGCTGGTGCTGAGCTCATCCTCCAATTATTGGGCGGAAGTCATCGCCTAAATCCGAACAACGCGCATCAATGGCCAACTGTAGTCGCGTTATGCGGACCGCATCGTTCTGGTGCCGCGGGTATTAATTGCGCCCGACAATTATCTAGTCACGGTGTCAAAACGATCGTATTCGTGGAAAACGCGGAGGACGTGTTCCTTTTGCAGGAATTGTCACTGTACAGGCTAACAGAGAACAAAGTAGAGACTAAAGTGAAGAATCTGCCATCACTGGTGGATCTCATACTCGTGGCACTCTGCGATGAGGATTCGCCAAGGATAATTACGCCGATAGCCAGGTGGGCGAACAGTAACCGAGCGCCCGTACTCGCTATTGAACCACCAGCGACAGGTACACCTGGTATTCTTAGTAAATTCAGTCTATTAGGTGCGCTACCGTTGTCGCACAGCGTCGACAATGGTAGATTGTACCTGTGCAATCTCGCATTACCAAACAAGGTATATTCCGATGTCGGCATCACGTATAAATCACCGTTTGGACCTAAGTTTGTGATCCCTTTACATTCCAATAACTCTTAGCAAATTCTTAGAGATCACATTGTGTCTTCTTGAATAGACATCTCATTTTATCATTTATGCGATTTGTAAACAGAGAAATATTTTACTTCCGAGGCCCAGCGACTTGTAAAGAATATATATACATATATATAGTTTGACGTTTGATATAGACTTTTAGATAAACTTTTAGAGCATGGTGGATTATAATACTTTTTGCATTAATTGTATAATATCCGCGAATTGGCTGCAGCACATATACATAATGTATACACTATTTCCATATATAACCAAAAAAATTGTATTTTAAAGTATCTTTACATAGAATACATATAACAGATAAAATAGATATTTTATCTGTGAAGTTATGAAAGACAATTTGTTTTATTGACAATTTGTTATATGTGTTATATTATCACAAGCATCTATGATAGAATTACTATCACTTCAAATATGTAACATCAAATAAAGAATTCCTTACCAATATAATTCTATGTACTAGAGTATAGTTTCGCTTTGATATACAATTTGATACAATTGAATGAAAAATACACTTTTTGCATACTGTATCTATAGTTTATATTAATAGAGCAAAATAAGATAAAGAAAAAAAGAGGGTATGTAGAGAATTAAATTCCAATAAGTTCTTATGATAATGAAATTTATCTTCATTTTCTCAATTGATAAATATAATTAATAAGAATCCTGTAAACATAATGAGAGTTATTTAAAGTATCTTCTTGTATTAATAAGAAAAAGAAAAAAATTAAATGATGATAACTTGTATGTACATGCAAAAGAACAAATTATATATTTTTAATAATTTATAACGTATTATTTATGTAATTGTTAAAAATATATGTGATGCTTGATTAACGCGTCTATTCTGCATGCGATCTGATTAATTGACAAATGTTTTATATTTGCATATCTACTCTTTATTGTTGTTCGATAAGCTCTTGTTGTTCACATACACACATATTGAATATGACTTCAACTCTCATCATTTGTATTTCGATTATAATAGCAATATAGATATTGAAATTATTGTAACACACGCGAAAAGTATCTCGAGTGTTGTATAAAGTATCTATATATATTTATATAGATATATATGTATGCTAAACTTGATTGTGTTCCTTTTTGTACTGATTTTTTTTAAACAATTTATAATAAAGTAAGATATGTGCTTTTTCTCATATTTATGTAGTCACACATTTATGTAATACATAATTGTAACTCTAGAAATTTGCACAATACACAACAGTTTCTTGAAATAAAATCTGTAGTAAATAATTCCGCACAGTTTGTGTTCATCTCTCTACAAATGATTAAATATTACAGGATACATTAGAGCATTTTTTAAATTTATTTGGATGATATATTTGAAATTATATATATGTTATATAAGACATATTTAATATAATATTAAAAATGATAATTAACATTGCATTTGATAATTTGAGCACTTAAAATTGTAGGAGATGTAATCAAAACAAATATAATACGTAAGTAATACTCATGAAATGTTTTAGTAATTCAAAAATAAGTTTAATTATAAGAGTAATTATATAAAATAAAATTGTATAAACAATATAATGGACTTCAACATTAGATTTCTGTTGATCATTAACTTAATTATATCTGATAACAATTGCATAATAAGAATCGTGTTGAACAAATAGATTTTGAGAAGAGGATAAATAATAAAAAAAATATTAAAATATAGATATAAAATATTTTCTATAATTTTAATTATAATATTTGATTATAAATATATTTCTATAAACGTTACACTCTATGGAAATTTGCAGCGTTGTTACATGTTAAAAATACATGATTTTATAATACAGAAAATTGGACAAGTAATTAAGTTACGATATTATGAAAAAATTTATTCAATTATTGTCCATTTTTTGTGTAAATGCAGGTCTACTCGAATCTGACTTATTATAAAAATATCTATTGAACTCGTTCATATAACTGTCTTCAAATTGAAGTAATCTTTATGGATTAGCGCAATTATATTATTACGAATATAATTGATTTAATCAATATAGAACACGAGGAACTGTGTAGATACTCACTCTATACTCTATACAATTAAAAATTTGTATTATCTATATATTTTAATTTGGAATTTTTGAATAACTCTTGCTATAAGTTTCTTATACATATATCTCTCACATATACATACACATCTATATCTCTCATATTCTCATATTAGATATATACTCAGAAAATGACTCCCTTTAAAAATAAGTTACTATTCTTTTTGCATAATATATATTTTATTGATATTATCGCGTGCGCAAATATTCTAATATGTATCTATAACAATATGACAATTTGATTTTGATTAAAATTATAGGCACATGAAATTCTTCCATTTCCTAGTTTAATTTACTAGTCATTAATTATATTATAATTGATAGAATATCACGCTGTATGTTTAAGATATTTTAAGATATTGAAAATTCGTATTTTAAGATATTGAAAATTCGTTGATTAAATTTATAAACTTCATTTTTTTAAATCTTCTGAATCTCTAACGATTCTTCTACATAATTGTAAACACAATAGCTTTGAATAATATTAAGTAAAAATATATACAATTTGCATGTTTACTATTTTTAATAACATAATACTAAATGCTATATCTATTTTGTTTTGTAGCACTCGATCGTTTTTGACTAAAATATGATGTTCATGATTTAAATATATTCAGCCTTAAGCATAATTATTGTGATTAAAATTCTATATATAGTGTAGAGTTCGAATATATACTTACATAATAAAACATGTATATCATATATATTAAAAATATGACAAAAATTGGAATACAAATAATTTCTTTAAAGTCTAAATTAATTGTATTAACATAAAAAAAGATCAAATAAAAAATTTTGATGAATCACTGTGTATGAATAATAATTACGAAAAATTATGCATATATTTATATAAAATAAGCTACGAAGAAGATAGTACACATTATGTAAAAAATATCCTAATGTTTCAAAAATTTGATGAAAAATATAGACATTGTGCATTTTTGATTATATTAGCAGCAAGTAAATTTTTTAGAATAATTGATAAGTATATGAATACAATTATCTCTATAGCTCTTTCTAGTCTTAGTAATATATAAATAAAATAACTTTTATATTATTATCATTTATATTTTTGCATAGAACTTTTATATAATTCTAATTAAAACAAATTTTCTTTTAAATAATCGACACCTACTTTAGAATACGTTTAAAGAATATATAAAATAAAAGTGATTCGACTCAATAATGTCATAATTTAATTTTCTTTTACATATTGAGAATGAACCGGATGTAAAGGTTCTATTACTATTTATTGACTTTTTAATAGTTTAGTTATTGAATATAACAAACATATAACAAACTTTTGGAAAAATATATTTCTTAATTCCAGGTAACAAGCTATGATTTTTTATTTCTTTTTTTAATGTAATGGAGGAATGAAATAGGTTTCACTGAAAACTGTTTCATTCCTTTATTACATTAAAAAAAGAAAATATTAGGAAAAGAAAATATTTTTTAAATTTTATTATTAAATATTTTCTTAGCTATGATTGATCAAATTTAGAATTTGAATGAGAAGATATATTCAGCAATACTATTCAATGATTTAGGCAAGCTTTTTTTTAATGCTTCTAAAGATATTCAAATAAAGATAATTATTTTCTGTCGAAAATTGAACTAATGACAAACATTACGACATTGATACTCCATAACATAATTTACCTTTTACCGACATATATGTATATAGTCGTTCAATATATATATGAGTCGTTCTATATATATGATGATAATATAGCATATTTCTCTCATAAAACAGTACGTATTTTTAAATGGATTTTTTCCAGTCAAAAATGACTATGATATCGTCGCTCGATAATTAAAAAGGCATCGTATTTACTTATATTCGTTGGGGCAATATTGTCCTTGTGTGTCTTATTGTTTTTAGTTCAATAAAATTCTGTTTCTCGCTCTTAATAGATCAAACGCTAATAAGCGTAATGGAGTGCATGCGTGCAATATAATGTAATTTATAAGTGCCTTTCAATACTACTATCCTACTCCGGAATTATTTTCGCTTCGTAAAATGCAACAGTCAGAGAATGATCCTCGTTACGATCATACTGTATCTGACGCATCTTCGTAAAAAAAAAGTCCAGTTCCGTCTAGTTCTTACACTGTCCTCTTCCTAGGAGGCGGCCGTAGGACTAGTAGTCGGCGGGATCGTCGCATTGTTCGCGGACTGCTTCGCACGTCGACGTTTATTCAGCAGAGGATTATTCGTATGATCAAGCTGCTTCAGGCATGCCGTATCATAATCGACTCGCATCGTTGCCAGCGATCGTGTCATCTCCTCCTGTACCTCGGGCCACATTTCCTCCCCTTCGCGTAAAACGCGTCCAGTGTGTAAAGGAGTAGCGGGCACTTCTGTGTATTTCTAAATAGAGAAAGAATCTCTTGAAAAAATATAAAAAACCTATATGTGTAAATTTATACATGTATTGTGGAATATATTCTTACAGCGATCCAATTGTTACGCATCACATCGTCGATCTGCAATCTTTCCGCTGGATTAATACATAGCATGCCTTTGATAAGGTTCTTCGCTTCCTGGCTTACGTTCGCCCATTCTGGATAGGGAAAATCGTATTGTCCTAATCGGATTCTTTTTTTCATCCCGGGAGAAATCGCTAATCCATGATTGCTGTAGAATGGTGGAAAGCCGCACAATCTAAAAATAGTGATAAAGTTACAAATGCATCATCGTAATGTATATTTTTAAGTAATACATGAAAGTGAAGCAATAACAATCTTTAAATATTGAAAATTCTATATAATTGAAAAAATAATAAAAATAATAAAATGTATAATTAAACGTTTATAAAAATGTATATACTTACAATATGTACATAATTACTCCCAGTGACCAAATATCACAGCTCTTGTCATATTTTTCTGGTCCTAAGACTTCTGGAGCTAAAAATAAAATAATAAAAAACAAATTATCATTTTAATTTTAAACATATGAATGTATTCGCACAATGAAACATATAAACTTACCAACGTAGTAAGGTGTATAACATGGCGTTTGTAACGTGTCCTTTAAATGTGTTTCTTTGGCAAATCCAAAGTCGGTGAGTTTTAAAATTCCTGTGATATCTGCAAATTAATACATAATAACAATAATTCACTTATGTACGACAATATTTGTCTATTAGTCTTTTGGAGTGTGTATTTAAATAAAATTATGATAAAAGCGATCTTTGTATTCATAACTTTTCAAGGCCTACAGATAATATATGATTAAATCTCTTGAGCTTATAAAATATTGTGAGCTAATAATGTCTTCAATTTGTTATATTTTGGAAAAACAAATAATGTAAATCATATTTTAAAATATATATAAAATTTACCTGGTTTAGAATATAAAAGATTCTCAGGTTTTAGATCTCTATGAGTGATGTTCATGTCGTGTAAATGTTTTACCGCGACACAAATCTCGTACATTACTTGCGCAGCTTCTGCAAAAACATACAATTTATTTAGTTTCTAACAATAGCAAGTTTGATAAAAAAATTTGGAACACCAAGCTATATACCTCTTTCAGTAAAGGCACCGTCTTGTCTATCTTGTATCCTTTGGAATAGCTCTCCGCCTTCCATACTAAAAAAGAACATAAATTTGAAAACTTACACTAGTACATAATCGCAATCGTATTAAAAGGATACGTATTATTTTTACATACCATTCCATAATTACTAGTAGACATTTATTTCCACTATAGGAATTTTCATATACATCTTTTACTTGAACTATGTGCCTACAGTTAGATGCCCTCCAGTGAAGCTCGACTTCTCTCCGTGCCTTTGCGCAGTCATGCAAGACCTGAAAATAATGCAAATAATGTATAATTTAGCATGATATGCTTACTTTAACGGAAATCTATTATTAAACTGCAAAAATAAAGAGCAAATTAAAAAAAATTATTTAGTAATTAAAGGCAACATAGACATTTTTGGAAAAGATATTTGTTATAAATTTTTATTATATCGCGTTATAATTTTATATTAAAAACGATTAATTTTAATATATATTTAAAATTAATCGTTATTGTATATACATATAATAATAATGTTCTTCTGAATACTCAGTAAGCGAATTTATTAAAGATAAATGACTTGCTAAATTTGAAATCATAACTCAGCTACTCGTATCAGTATCATCGCGTATTTCACATTGCGTTTCAGTTTCGTGCATATCATCCTAGCTTTAGCAGGTAACAATTTGACTTATAGCTCGTGACTATGTTTACGACGCGAAACCGATGCCATTGTCAGGGATTTCTTAGATAAAATCTTTTCTCATGCCGTTCTCCTAATAAATCATAACAATAGAATGTAATTTACGTAACTAATATGTTGATTAATAAATATTCAATCGTCGCACATTTCCGATAAACGTATGATTAATGATATCCAAAAAATAAATTGAAAAAGAAGATATATATATATATATGCATGCAGCGATAAAAACAAATTGCACACAGATGGCGATGATGACAAATTTATTGCCTTTAAAAAAGCAGGATTTCCCGATACTCGACATTAAATATCTCTTTCTGCTAAATTTTGATAATTAAAATTCTGGAATATAATAATCGATATAAATTTAATTGATAAAATCTACTTTGCTATTTAATCATGTTTGTTTTATAAATTTTTTTTTAGATCAAAATGAAATTTAATAATACACTTATCAAAAAGTTTGTAAAAAAATCCTTTTTTGATTGCTTGTAATTTTTTTATAGTATCTTAATATTTTAATTAAGAAAAAATAATTTCTTAAATTTGTCAAATCATTAAAATTGAAAATAATTGTCAAGTGAGATTTTCTGATTGGATAAAGAGAGTTTTACATTTAAATGTACATTATATATAGAACAAGAGACATTATGTGTGTGTGTGTGTGTGAATTTTCTGCGATATATAAAGGTGAATGACATGTAAGTTATTGATGGTACAATACTGATTGGTCAATTATACCGAATAGCTTGCCATTCAAAATTTATCAGCGATCGAGCACGTAATTACACTCGCATGCATGGCATACACACTTGCCTCTAAACGGGCATTTAATTGTGCCCTTTTGAGGAGTGTACAATCTTCCCGACAATTATATGAATTACCGCAGACATCCATTGTGACGCGGTGGGAACCTAAAATAGCCGTGTCGCTTATATTATTTATACCGGAGATGAACGGTGCATATATGCATATGTCATTTTTGAATGATAGAAGCAATTCATTGAAGTCTCATCGCGATTTCATAAATCGCATGCTTAATATACCGTTTAATTTATGCGACATTATGGAAATGCACGATGAACAACACTTTTATACAAACGCGTTGTATTATCATATGAAAAATTTACGCGATGCTCTCACAAGAGAATATGGAATTTTCTATTTAAAGATGAGATATTCATTGCGATGCGAACCCTAAAAGCAGATAATGCCACATTATCATATCTAAACTCAATTCTAAAACAAATAAGACGCTTTTTATATTCCTCTTTGGAATTGATTGATGAAATCAAAATGAGATTAAGCTCATTGTATCAACGTTTAACTTTTAAAAAAGAAGTTTGATAATATTTCTTATTTTAAATTGGAATATTTTTATTGCAATGCAAGAGAAAGACATTAAAATGAAATTGGAAATAAAACGGAAGAGGATGGATTTACACGCTTTTATAAATTGGTACGTTGAATGATTTAAAAGTATATACGAAGAGGAGAGCCGAACATGAAATAGTAAAAAGACAGTCAGAGAACCGGTTCTTAAGATTTGTATCTAATCCGGATTAGAGACTGTCAACACCGGTGACAATAGAAGCTCTTACGAGAGGAAAAATTTTGTTTACGTCAAAAGAAAAAATCTGCATACGCAATGTCATGAAGTTTATATGCAACATAAAAATAATTTAAGCGTAAAAATGTTAAGATACAAATCAAAATCGATATCAGATTTAATATTGCTGTCAGAACTGAATATAAAATTAATTTAAGAAATAGAAAATTATAATTAATTTATTATTAGTACAAGTAAATCTATATCTATTGATATTCAATATCAATATATCTTTTATAAAGTATACAGAGAGAATCCCTAGTATATTTTATAATTAGAATATTTATAATTAGAGATAGAGACTGGTAATACATATTTCTGGAACATCGTATATTCCCACTTTGTGTTGGCGTCACTCATTCGTATAACTAAACAATATATAAACACTTGCGCTATAAATATAACGTAAAATGAATTGAGATTAAAATCATAAAAAAGAGAAAAACTACGAAAATAGAAACAAACAGATATAAATTTTAATGAGACTCGCTAAATGAAATATTTTACTACTCCTGTTAATAACCGTTACTTTGACTAAGCAGATTTTAACAGAAAATACTTTCTGCGACTCAATGAATTGCAATGGGCTGGCAATGAGCATTTGTGCCATAATATCATCTGACATAGGCGTGTCAGTAAAAATACCAAAGCGATCACGCGTCAAAGACGTAATGTATACCGGACTTCGTGCAAAGAGCTATGCTAATGAGATTAGCACCTCTCGACTCGTATAAATCACCTCGCCGCAAGTAGACAGATGGACGCGCGGAATTGTCACTCTTAATAGTTTTTCTGGCGACAGATCAGATTATTATGCTTGTCGACATCGACGCGCGCGTAAAATCCTGGGGATTTTACACGCTTGACTATAAAAGCCAACAACGTAATCCGATGCAGCGCAATCACGTCACGCTCGTGAAAACGATCGATTGCTCCTTCCTTATGTTCTGTTCAACTATTACGTCTACTGCAGAGGTATACGCATCAGTCAAGCGGAATTGACCATGGAAAATTCAATCGTTCGCGATTTCGTCATCGTCTACACTTCCTTATTATCATACCATATTAAGTTTAACGCACATCAAGTAATGTTAATAAAATAATTTTATATATACGTTGGTAAGATGTAAATGTTTTTCTAGAACTGGGGATTTCTGTTATATATACAGAACGATAGTGTGTCTAACAAGACGCAAGCAGCCAATTATAAAACGGTGCATATTGACAAGCGGAAAATGTTGATCAGCTGACAGCCAGTAATCAATCAACGAGAGCGAAGACGAGAAATTGGCTTGCAACACGACACGATGCGATATAACATCGACAAATATATTGAATTTTTAATGGTTAAGCGTTGGAAAACCACGGAAGCCATCCATGCTCGCATGTGACATCGTCGCATGTGATATTGTGTCGAATGGTGCATGTCACCGCGACGTGTTAAAACGTAATTCTGCCGCCTGAATTGTTTTAAGAGCCGTTCCGAGAATGTTTTAAGTAACGTTTAAGTAATATATTCTGTCTGTGTGTACTTTTTTCCTGAAAAATGAAAATAAAACAATAGTTAACGTATTATTAACGATAAGTAATATTTGAAAGAGAAAGAAAGAAAGAGATATTTTTCGCAAAATATTGGGAATCTAAATTAGATTTAGATTTTATGATCTCTTGGAAATATTTTAATTAAGATAAAGATCATAATGGAATTTGAAAAAACCTGTAGGAGAAACTGTTATTCTTTACAAAGTTAAACAGTGGTATTATAACGCATTATATATTATGCAATCGCGCACCAATCGTTGCAATAACTGGAATAGTGTAGATATCATTGATAAGATTAATTTCAATCAGAACCTTTCGAGATACTTTAACACGTATTCTTTAAATAAAGAAACAGTATATTGGTACTGGTTGTGTGTCAGATAATTTATTAATTAATCGATATATATGTAAAATACTGATGATGTAACAACACTTTAAGATTTCGATCCGTCTGGGTTTCTCCAAACTCTACATCCAAATCAATCTATTATTTATCTCTTCTTTACATAAAATTGGTACGAGCAAAAAATAGGTAAATCTAAATATATCTTTAAATAATAAAATGAAATAATTCGAAAAAAAATTAACGTTTGTTCCTTAAATTAAATTTTAGATTTTTTCTTACTATTTATATATATTTTCTATGAAAGAAGGGAATCATATATATATATATATATATATATATATATATATATATATATATATGAGTTAGTGTGTGTGTGTGTGTGTCCTCAAGCTCTGCATAAGGTAGAAACATTTTCATGGTTGATAATTGATAATTTTTTTATATTTACTTCCATTACATCTCTCTCTCTTTTTTTCTATTTCTCTCTTTCTCTCTCATTCTGTCGCAATTCCTGTTAATATATACGAATCGATTATTCGATATTATTACTCAGCTGTAACGGTATATCGCAAATTCCTCAGCGTTTGTTATCGCATGGATTAAAAATAAAGAAAAACGTAATGCGAACCGTGATATTCGTATCTCACGATCGCGACTTGTCAATATTCATTACGTTGACAAACACGGCGATTGATACGACGAATATGACTCTTGCGCTAGTTTTAACAATCGCGCCACTTTGACCTCCAACGATGGCCGGGATCCCCGATACTTCTTCGAAGTCATTGACTATATTTTCGCACCGGAAAAGATGAGATCATCGTGAATATATAAGACGCGAAGAACAAACTTGCGGTGCATTTTTTCGGCGCAATTTGTCGTGCAATCGCTTCGCAGTTCGTACGTGTTGCATTCTGCGTTTCCTCGAGAGGATTACGTCTGACTTACAACTGACGTTGTAAAAAAAAACGCGACGCGAAAAGTCAATAATCGCGAGCCTAAGCGCTGACGACATACGCAACAGCAGAAGAAAAAATAGTGATTGATGCCGCGAAAATTCCGCATTAAAGAGAGCGCACGTGACTTTATCCGGGCATTTCGCATCACACGCGTTATACGATGAGAAATAGCACTCTGCTGAGACAAGTGAAAAAAAAAAGATATTTTTAGTAAATACGTAAGAGTTTAAATACTTCGATAAAGAAAATATCGCCGGTAAGAAATTTCTGCGTGAAAAAAAGAAAAAAAAATGTTTTCCACGAACGCCGAGAGAAATGTATACATTTGACGTTCGCTCTTATCCAAACTGCGTCATATGTGCTGCTGTGAAAAATCATATAACGACACGATTCCTGCGGCATGTAATGCTTCGATACCGGACGCCTTTCCGAAATTTCGTGTGGAACATTCTGATTATTTTTGTAGCGACTTCGAGAAACTTCGTGATGAGATATCTTTTCACGAACGACGCAAGAACGACGGGATTAAATGCCGAGGTATGTGTGTGTTTTATACTAACGATCTTGAGACTCTCTAAGAGAGAGAAAGAAATAGTTTTCGAAAGTTTCGCATAAAAGAAATCACAAGCGCCTCTCGCAAAATTAGAAAAAAATTTGCAAATTATTTCTCGAAGAAAAAATATATTGTCAAGCGTTATATAAAAATAATCTCCAGCGAGTTTTTTAATATTGTAAAATTAATATTGTAAAATTGCAAATTACGCTTTTGCTTTAAGATTTAATTATTGACCATTAATATTGGAAATATAACGGAAAGATATCGTGTATCATGACAGTCATGTCTCATAATCAGTACATGTAAGCGTCACGTGATACTCATATAATCGGTCATCGGCATTCTATGTATCTACAACTGATCAATTCTTGAAAATTATTCCTCGCAAATTGTAAAACGAATTATTTTTACAATTGATCTCATAAACTGCAGGACTTTAAGAAGGTGCAACTTTTACGAATCGCTCCTTATTGATTTAAACTATGTAATCGATCATTGATGTTATGTATTTACAACTATGATTAATTCTCGAAAATCATTCCTCGTCAAATTGCAAATCAAATTATTTTACAATTAACTTCATAAACCACGAGATCTTTACAAGAAGATGCAGTTTTTATGAATCACTTCTTATTGATTAAACGATGTAAAATTGAAACGCTTATAATAAAGTAAGAGAGTGATTTAAAAAATTATATAAGATAAATGCAATTTTTAAATTAATTTTCATCAAGAGGAAAAACGCGTGAAGCAAAAATATTTTAAAGAATGTAATCCTGAGTCTTATATTTCAACAAGATATTGCACTCTATTCTAGTACATATATGTTGTTGCAAAACACGCAATCCCGAAACATAATAAATGTATTTTATGATATCAATCATATCATATGGAGTATTATCAGAAAATAGGTAAAAGAAAAAGATAGATCACTTATGTAATAATGACATAACGCAGTATCGACTAACGGCACTATGAATATTACGCAATCAAACGCCAATTTCATTAGATAACTGCAGTTATTTATGCGTCCAGCAAATTTCTTCCCCTATCGTCCCGCATTTGTATGTTAACCGTGTGTATTGATTGAAATAATTTCTATAACCGTAAAACCGACGAGGGATCATAAGCAATTTTACCCACATCGCATATAACTCCAAATGAAGCATATCGCGGGATACAATAAAGTCTTTTACGATACAATTCGCGCAAGATATATAGTCCAACAATAATGAATAATTTTATTATGAATCGCGATAGCCTTCAGCCTCTCTTTCTTTACATCTTGCCTCGTGACGAGAGTCAAAGACCGGGAACGCGTCGACGGGCGACTTTCTCGTAGAAACTGCTCTCACGATGCGATTAAATTTTTTTGAGGCTCGACCGTCGTAAAATAAGAGCCAGGCTACCTTCGGGGGGAGAGATATGTTGGAGGTCTGACATCGTCGAACGGGAAAATCACCAGGGTATAAATAGAGGATGACTCGCGGTCTGAACACGCTTGGACATCGTTTAGCCAATGATCGCACTTTCACGTGGCCAAGTGAGTATCGATACAACGAAGACCGGCGATCAATGCTCCTTCAAAGAGATGTTAACGAAACGAATTAACACCTTCGGATGCGCGAACCAAGTCGCTTTCAAGTCTTAAAAATAAACGAGGATGTGCGCACAAGGCGCATTGCGGATGAAAAAAGCCGAAACCAGTTGCTCTTCGCCTTCCAATAAGAACCTTGATCTTTGTATGTTTTATTTGAGCAGTTATCTTGTGTTCTCACACATGAGTATGATTTTCAATAAAAAAAATTTTCTTAAAAGGAAAATTTAAACAGAATTATTTTTAAAAATCTTATTTAATAGAGACTTCGACCGGTAACTTTCTCTAATTATGCACTAAAGAATTTGCTATTCAAAGTGATTTTCAATAAAAAAAATTTTCTTAAAAGGAAAATTTAAACAGAATTATTTTTAAAAATCTTATTTAATAGAGACTTTGACCGGTAACTTTCTCTAATTATGGACTAAAGAATTTGCTATTCAAAGTGAAATTTTTAAATATGACACTAATAATACAATAATGCATGTAATTTATATTTACTCAGAAATGTTTCGTGATTTTAGAAAATGAATTCTCTTTTGCTGTACAGTCTCAAATTTTTCTCATTCATAAAATAGTAATGTGACAAATTCTCTTTAAGAGAAAAACATTTTATATTTATAAAAAGATGTAATAATTATGACATTTATGCATATCTGTTATTAAAAAAAGGAAATAGTTTATTCTATTGGTAGTAATACTTTTTCTATTGATTTCTTTCGAAGTAAATAATGAAATTGAACTAAGAACGTAAGACGCTAATCAAATAAAAGCTCTTAACAAAAATTTTAAATCTTTTACTTGTGTGCTACCTCAAAGTATTCGAAACGAGACAATTATTTAGGATTTACGTGGAACAAGTATTTACCTTGAGAGCATACTTCTGCCTCGTGTTTCTGTCATAACATTGAACGACTTTCCCATTGATGCCAAGACCCAGCACGTGATTGCTGATCTCATAATCGTCCGTGATCGGCGTAACTTTTGGCGATAGGCGACTGTTCAACGGATGCTCCATCGTCTTTCTCGTCTTGGTTTCCTCGGTCTCTTGTTCCGGTATTTGATCGTAGTCCTGCCTGATCACCTGCGTAACTACCACAGGCGGTGCCGAGCGTTTGCGCTTGCACTCCTTCTGGTCGTTCTCCTCGAGAACGGCCCTCTTGGACTTCCTGCAAAATAATATTCTCGTGTCATTCTACATGTGCAGGGAGCACACGAGCGTGAAGGTCGCGCGCGTAAAATACTTTTGCACGGAAAAAATATGATGTTCCAGATTACGCGATCGATAACGCAAATCTTAGGCACGATAACGTGTATCGAATATGTATGAGATACAAGAAAACGAGTTCTGTACATTCTCTGCAATTATCGAAATACGCGCGTATACTGATGGCAAAATTACGTTACTTGAAAACAAACTAAAGGCATGTCATAGTGTTAAAAATAACTGAACTTATAGATAATATAATTTACATAAGGAGACATTTGCGATCGAAATATTCGATTCCAGAGGATTGTAGAGTTACATATTTGTGCGAGATTTGTATAGTTGAAGTTGTTAACTTTAAATATCCGTTTCGTTTACTATGCCAGTCAGTCGTCGTTTCAATGAAATCGTTTGCATAACCTTCTTCGAAGAATGTGCAAGATTCATGTTATTTCGCGCACATACACACACAGCTCTACCCACACACAACTTTACTTATACGGTGTGTGCTTGCCTCGTTTGCGGTGTAACTCGTACACTGCAATGCAGTATACGCGATCGGTGAATTTTGCTATTGCGATAAAAAATATTGTAAACACGTATTCAGAATAACATATAAGATTTGATAGTATCATAAAGATAGATAGATAGATAGATAGATAGATAATATCGCAATACTGTATATATTACTTAGTATTTCTACCTGTATTTCTTATATCAAATTATTTCCATTTTATTTCATCTCTTATTTTATTTATATAAAAAATAATATATTGGCTCAACACATATACTTTATTTATATCACCTTATACTATATTTTTGAAATATTATATATATATGATATTATGTACTATTAGATGTAATTAATTATAATATAAGATGGAAATAATTAGATAAAAATTAAAGATATATTTATATCATCTTATACTATATTTTTGATATATTATATATACGATCTTATGTACTACTAGATATAATTAATTATAATATAAGATGGAACTAATTAGATAAAAATTAAAAATAAAAGAATAATTAGTGTAATTATATCTAAACAACGCATCAAGATAAACACTGTAAGCAACTGGTTCACATAAAAATAATTATTTAACAAGAAAAAGATTGTCAAGTCCAAGAAATTATGCTAAAGAAGTTACTCGATAGTTACTGTAAATCCAAATTATTAATCTGATATATGTTTATCATGCTTATTGTTAATATATAATGTAAGAGTTAAATAAAAAATGTAAAACGTTAAAATATGAAACACAGAATTAATCTTGAGGCCTAAGTTTGGTATTTCAAACATTTAGACCTTCTCAACACGTGTAACATTTAAAAATGTTTATCAAAGACATAAGAAAATAAATTAGAGTAACTTTTAAAATAGAATTAGTAAAATCAAACATACAAACAAATTACGATTTATATAGACCATGTCAAATATTGTATCTCAACGCATCGATAGAAAATTTAAATTCTGATTATCCTTTGTGAGAAGTTAGTAGAGCAGTAGATTTCAATCATCACAATGTTAAATCATAGTGAGTTCTCTTATTGTTTACATCCGAAAAGAATGGCACGGTTTTCGCGTATGTAACAGCTCAATCGATGAATCGATGACACATCGATAGATTATTGAGGGTGGAGTTGCACCAACAACTTGATCAATACTGATTCGATTGGTTTTATACATGTATCGATTTTCTAAATATAACATGTAACAATAAAACTATAAAATTACGATCGTCTTTAAATATAATATCTAAAAAGAATATTTAAAATCAAGCGACTTTAAATATTCGTTTAAAAAGTGTGTATTGATATTTTTTATACAATTATATAATTTGATATTGAAAAAATCTTACGCTAATTTTCTCCATTTTATGCAAAATTACATTTTAATTCAAAATTTGTTTATGTAAAAAGATGTGAATAAGATATGAAAAAATAGGATCTAAAAAAGAAAATACGCTTTTTTAAATGGCATATATAAATAACGAAGGAAAATCTAATCATATCGCACTTAGCGATGCTGGTGCAACCGACATTTGCAACCGACACTCGCTCCAAGAAAGAGGACTTTCATATATTTGGGGGAGCTTTATTTTCGCATATAAAAATAAAGATAAAAGAGACCTCCAGAATCTCCACTTAGTTGCCGACTTCGGCATCGATGTGGCCTCTCGATTTTCGCACAGTTAAATCCCGAATCGTCGGGGGAGGCAAAGCATCACCCCCGCCCCGTGCCGTAAAAGCAGAAGAGGAGCCTCCCAGATGTAACGACGACGTGGAAGTGACACGCGGGGTGCGGTTCTTACGAAAGGAATCTGCCCAGCGAGATTTTTCCGCACAGAGCGTGTAGAGAAAAGCGATAGGTTTTAAGTCCACCCACGATTCTGTCTTTTGCCTTTGCGGTTTTTTTTTGCTTTTTAATCAGAAGTCAAGCCAAAGGATAATCAGGCCGAGCTGAAAACTGAAGATAAGAGACCAATGATAATTAGATAGCACCGATAGCGCGAGCGTGTTGAGTACAAAAGCGTCTCGTGGATCGAGCTTAACGAAGCGAGCATTTCCCGGAAGCTAACGAATATTCTGTACCAATGATCGGATATACCGTAGGACTTCCGGTGTTTCATTGCGTCTTCGGACACGCACGCACACACACGTCTGAATTTATCATGGTTCTAAATCGAGTTAACATCTTTAAGCGTTCGAGATTCAGCAAACTTTAATCATCACTTCCAATCATTTGAAAAAGATTTTCAACATTTTATTTCACACCTCAGCCGAATAATTATAGAGTTTAGATTTCCAAAATGAAATTTAGAAAAATAGATGCACAGAGGCGAAAGTATTCTCTTGCTTAAAATAATTATTTTATAAAATAATAATTAATTAATAATTAATTAATGAACGATAATTAATTTATAAAAATTAAATCAAAAGTGACATAACAGTCAATAATTAATTTAATAAAATAATTATTTTACTTCATTGAAAAATATTTTTGAGAAATATATTTTTACATATATTTCAAAATGTAGCGCCAAAAGTGGTATCTTTATCGTTCACATTTTTCATTCATATATTTTTCATAGTAATTTTACACTATATCACGTTATGCGAATCGTATAATGAAGAAATGAAATTCTTAAGCAACTAAAAATAGAGCGAAGTAAGAGAATCAAACGGCAGCGAGATATACATATATTTGCACATAATCACATACATCACGACCACTTAATTAGCAAGAATTATGGACGTCGTAGACAATCCTGGCAGGGAAGGGAAAAGAGGAAAGGCATATGCGGTTAACTCTTAAACCGATAAATTAAATTTCAATCTTCTTTACCGCGGTAACATTCTTCTCTCATTCTTCTCAGAGAAAGATTAAATGAAAACAAAACACATTGTAATATATTCTGCATATTAATAGCAATGATGAGGTCAGCCCGAGCTTGGCGAAAAACAAAGAACGAGACGAAATCGAAGTTATCGATTAAAGAGTTCAAACTGGCAAATACGTATAAGGAAGTCCAAGTATTATACATTCTCGTTGCACGATTGCCTTAGAATTTCACTTGTCAATTCTAAAATCATGTCATGTATGTCATGTAACAATATCATATATGTGATTTACAAAGTGACAATGACAACGTGTTTAACGTTAAATGCAAGGTAAGAAGAAACAAAGTCGAGAGTGCATGTTTTGTTATAATATTGTTACATAATATTCAATGCAAAAACAATGTAAAAGCTTGTTAAAAAGTAAACGTGACGTAACATTAAAGTCTAAGCGTATAAAGCAGTAGAAATAATATCAAAATATTCGAATTTAAAATCTTTGCTCCAATATTTCAATTTAAACAGACGTATTAAAAAAATACACACATGTACACTTTTTATTTTATTTTATTAACTAAATTATCATTCTAGAGAAAACATATTTCTCTATTGCAAAGATTAAAAATTTAAACAATTATTTGTAGAAGAACGTGTAATATTTTCAAAATTCACACACACTCTTCATAAAAAATGCGCGGAGTATATTTTCTTATCTTTTTCCATAGATAAAACGCATATAATAAAATTGCAGTAAAAAATTGCAGTAATTGCAAATAAAAAATAAGCGATAAAGTAAGTGAAAAATAAGGAATATCAATAAGAAAAAAAATTTGGAAAATTTTATTTCGTGAATTATTTGAATTAATAAATTTTGAAAATAAATATATAAATACTATGATCTTAAATCATATGCTTGAAATTATCTTTCTATTTTAAACGCGCGAAAAAATAAAAATAAACGATAAATCACATAATCTAACGTCTCTGAATTATAAATGCATAATTATGCGAATATATGTCAACGATTGCGGGAAATAAAATCAAGCGTTGATAAAGACAGCGTTAACAATAAATAAAATATCGATAACATGGAGTCAATGAACGAACATTACGTACCCGTCGAGACTGCACTTCCTACGGACTCGGAGCTTATCCTGTCACAGGATCATGATTTTCATAAATCGTAGCCGTGCGATCTCGCCGGCATTATTTACACGCGTAGCATCGAACGTGCGTATCGATCACGCGTTCTCGGAAAATTCGCGATAGCGTTCCATAAATTGACGCTTGGCCTCGACAACGCGAAACGAAGGAGGAAAACGCGTTCTTTTAGGGAAGAAGGGAGTCGTCTGGAAGGAGCGCCGAGCCCGAACCTTTCCTATGTGCTTGCCGCGGGTACGTTTCGCGAGCCCTCGTTTCAGCTCGTTCGAAATCGTTGCGCGATGTTGAGTAATCCGATATATTAGCACAGGCCGTGCGAAACGAGATAGTCCGCCGCTCTCTCGCCGATCATCCCGCCGTGTTAGGCCGAAGTCGAACGATCACTGTCGGATACACCGCGACTCGACGCTCGACGGACAGACAGACTTGTGCGTGACGCGACGCAACGTACGGACAACCGCGTCGAAAAAACGCCCCGCGAGCACTGGCGCGGTGATGGCGACGCGGCGGCGGTGGTACCGTGACTCATTGCGCAGGGCTGAATCTCAGGGACGAATTAACGCATGGCGCATCGTGATCATTCAGAACTCGTTACTCGACAAGTTCTAAATTTTTCGATCGAAGAGATTTCATTCTTTGTTTTAATTATTTCGATCAGTTTCTTAAGTAAAATTCTGACGTGCCATTCTTTATGACACTTGTTAATTTGTCGCACGTTTAACAATAAATTATAATTAATAATTAATCGATAAAATATATATAAAAATAGTACATGTTAAATATGACATAGCAAATATTATACATACATAAGTTTTTGTGATTTTATTACTATTAATCGATAATCAGCTGTCACTTTAAAAGATTTATTAATTAATGGTATATAATCAGATAGATTAATTAAAGTCATTAAGTTGAAATTAAATTAAATTAAAATTAATTGATTTGCTCTTATTTAAAATTTTTATTCTAGATTTAATATTATTTGGCTGTATTATACTGACCCAGTGCGTTATGTGCTATTATAATGCGGATATCGTTTGATCGTTCACGCTTTCTCTAGAAACCTTAATTCCTTTCACCAATTTGCGATATGAATGTACCAATCCATTGTGATATGAATCATATTAATTCTAATCAATGTTAAAAATTTGATTCTTATTTCAACGATAAAAATGTAAAAATGCAATATATTAATATATCAATTTCTATGATATTTTATAGTCGCTAATTATGCCATTTTAATATCATTTAATTTTTTTATCAGCCTATAATATCCATATTAGGCTGAAAGTTTATCTAGCAAATTATTTTGAGCAATCATAATTTAATACGTTTTCTCTCACAAAAGAAATTTAATTATTTAATTATAAAATAGTTAACAGAAAAAAGGATATTTTTCAAAACTTTCAAAAATATTTTTAAAATTTCTTAAACATAATGACATTAACTAAAATTAAAAAATAAATATTAAGACATATCGTTTAAATGCCTTTAAGATAGATACAAAATTGAAAGTGTCTTTTATTAACTCTTTATATTATAATAATATGAATTTTGCACATTTTAAATAAACAAAAATTAGGATTAAGAAATAGATACGAAAAGTATGTATCCATGACTTAATAATATTTATTTTTTATCGTAAATATGTTTATATATATTTTGCGACAAATAAATAAATATATATATATATATATATATATATATATATATATATACATATACATATTATTTTATTTTTCTCCGTGTGATGAAATTGCGTTGCAACAAATTTTCAGGTATCTTTGATCTTTCAATTATATTTTGTATCTTATATAACAATAATTACAAAATTCTTAACGTCCATATAAATATCTTTCTTATGTAGGCACATTCCTATATCTATGTACAACTTGCTTCGTAACATATTTGCGAAATATTTCGTTATATTGTCCGTTTCAGATATAGATCCGAAATTTAAATGCTATTGCAGTGTGAATTTACAACAATATTTATCTATTAATAACATATGCTTTATATGCAAAATAACACTGTAATGCAAAAAGCATTTAAATCTCGGAACGAATCCAAAGTCATTTAAACTGTTTTAAATATATGAATATATATATTTAAAATACATTAATTAATTAAAATCATATTTAGAACATTAACGATGAAAACATTGATTATCGCAGCAGCAAATATGTCAAAAATACATCAAACTCGGATTATATTTGATTGTTATTAAGTATTACGTTAATAATTACCATAACAATATATATTTATAATTATATTATAAAGTATAGTATTTTTTTATAGATATTTCTATTTTCTGATTATGCCATTTTAATATATTGTCTAATTGTTACATCAGCCTATAATACTAGGCTGGAAGTCTGTCTGGCAAATTAATTATATTTTTGAGCAATCATAATTTAATATGCTTTCTCTCGTAAAAGAAATTTAATTCACAAGAAAATGTTTCAAAATTTTCAACAATATTTTTAAAATTTCTTAAAATAATTTTGGAAATTTTATGAAAAAATATAAAGCTGCCAATATGATTTAATTAACTGATGAAAGTATTAACATAATATAACTTAAAAATATTAGTATTATCTTACGTTTCCAGAACCATTAAATGTTCGAAATATACTAGACATTTCAGACTTTCTATGACATCATTTTATGATAGATTTAAAATTTCCTTATTTAAAAATAAAAAAAATTGAATATGAAAATTTAAATATTAAAATATATTAAATATATTTAATATATTTAATATTTATATATATATTTATATTAATATTTCATATATATTAATATTTCATATATATTAATATTTCATCATATTACAATTTTTTTCTCTTTAAATAATTGGAAAATCTGAAATGCATCTTTAGTGATGATCCATAAAATGTCTGATGTTTTTAATAGAAAAACTCTGAAATATCCTGTGTATGTGATCACTATTACTACAGTTATTTAGATATATAATTACAATTAACAATATGAAATTTACATTTAATTAAGTAACTCATGTACAACTGTTATATTTGCCTAAACTATATTAAGTATCCAAAGCTTCTCTCTTACAAAAAATATAATTTTATTGTCTATTTTGAACAAATAACAGATAATCAGTGCGCGTATAAGATTTTAATATTTGCATATTAGAAGCAAAAATATGTCATATTTATTTTATTATGAAAACTCTGAATCATATGTTACCTATTTTAACAAGCAGCGTTTCTGTAAATAAGTAATAGTGTCAATTTTTTAATTTTTTATATCACATATTTCGTCAGTTATCATTTAAAACAAAGAAATTCCTTTTTCTTTTCATATATATAAATAGAGTAAACATTTTTATAATAGATTATTTTCCAACAGTTAATAATAATACATTAAAAACGTATCATTATCGAGTTTTAAGTTTTGGGTAAGTAATGTGCCGATATAAAATTTTTGTAAAATTATATTTCGTATTATAGATACTAAGATTCCTACATATAGAGATCAGTTAGAGAAAAGCTCATTTTTAAGATAATACATTTTGTTATATGGATACTTAAAAATGCAACAAAAAGCATTGTTGTATTTTCATTTAATTGTATGTATATATAAATATAAAAGTCAATATTCCCTGATTAACATTTCACAGAAATTGCTCATTTTAATAAGCAATGTTATTTAAGCTCTTATTTGAAATTGTAATTGTATATTCTAGAAGAGTATACAAATAAAATTTCTCTTTTTAAAATTAATTCTATATAATATCAAGCTATTATATATTCTTTTGGGAAACTTTTGCATAACGTTCATTTATATAATAAATATAAGGGATATCTAATTATTGTAAACAACTAGATATCTTCCAGATAGCTAACAGTATATATCTATAATTTAAACATAGATATATGTACATATATCTATTCAGGTATAGATATACATGTATAATTGTGTTATACTATAATAATTCATACATATACGGAATTAATTTAAATTTATGCGCGCTATTTTAATAACCAGCTTATAATATTTTTGTGCAGAGACATTTTTAAAAAATGAAGAAGAAATAATTTTGACTCTTCTTTTGCACTTTTGTCTCGTTGTATGAAAATGTTCAAGGCATTCAACATTTATGTATACAACACTATTTTTAGGTCACGACTTACATTGCAATGACAGTATTTGTCACCCTGCGTGACTTTCCGGCTCGGTTTTATAATCTTGCATGGTAAGGATGTAAGGCACGACGCTAGCTACACTTACTCGACCAATGAGACCTGCGAAGAAAAGATCCTCCAGAACTCTAGGATTAATCGAACGGAGAGGCGCTAGCCTCAAGAGAAGACGAGGTAATCTATCTGAGCCCGCGCGTTGCTGTAATTCCGTCCACGCTGCTTCTTGCAGAACCTCAACCTTTTTACGCCAGCTACCTGTTAAGATATTATCTAAAAAAAAAATAAAAGAATATTTTTTATTTCGATATAAATAGAATCTTTATTGATTGTCTAAATAGAATTTACTTACCAGCGCTAAAAAGTGTTAAAGCCTTAAGATAAGCGTATTCAACAGAATCCACTTGTAACTTGTGCAGTGAACTTACACAATCCTGCAATCTGCATATATGTTCCGTAACACATTTTACTTTGCCAGCTGTGACCTTCTCTTGTGCGATACTAGCTTGTAAGTGATTAATTATTGACGTTAGAATACTAGGAAGAGACAATGTGTATGCGCATTGTGCTAAACCTAGTATAAATAATTGTCCCCAGGAACTTCGCACTAAAGTAGTTTGAATCTCAGATCTAAAACACAAAAATAATCTTATTTTAGATAATATTATGATTGAGATATGATTAAGATAAATATACTATTTTCTTACATACACCCACATGTAACGTATTAATATACATAAAATATATTACTCACGGCAAAGCTTGAAATGCCGGAATTCCTCGCGCCCAATGTACAGACAAAAATAGTAACCTAGCCGCGCTTTCGCATATGTAATGAATAGATAAATATACAGGTGCCGGGCTGGGTGCCCTCAATTCGAACAATGTATTCCGTTCAGAGATTAATTGACCAGTCCATTCTTCTTCTGGTTCACTCGAACCATTAACGGTCTATAATTGAATATTGCAATGCATTAAAGTTTTTGTTCACATAAAAAGATAATACCAAGATATGTAAGATCAAACAATGGGCTGACTTACGTCACCAATGAGTTTAGCCATGCTATCCAATGCATGAGAGATGAGTAAACGGTCGCGAGCTAAGGTCAAAGCATCACTAAGATCGCTGTCGCTACTTTGATCTTCCATGCTAGGACTCTCGGGTTGTTCCCAAACTGGGGGTACCTCGGGTGTGAGTTGTTGCGGTTCCGGTTTTACTCTGGTGCTACGATTACCTACTTTTGCGGCGGCTGATTCACCTAATACGGGTTTTCTCTCATGTTGAACAGCTGCAACACATCACAAAATCATTTGTTAATTATCTCGTGTAATAAATTTCAAAAAATAAACTCAATATGAGGATGATCAATTTCACTTACAGTCACTTCTCATGCCCATAGCTAAGCACTTTTGAAGTCTACAATACTGACAACGATTTCTGTGGTGTTTGGTAACTTCGCAACTTTTGCTTCCCCTACATTGGTAGCCTAGTTGCTTGCGAATACTGCGTTTAAAAAAGCCTTTGCAACCCTCGCAACTAATTGCTCCATAATGTCTGCCACTAGCTCTATCTCCACAAACTACACAGAGTTCTAAGGACAGTCCTAAACCTAACGAGCCACGAACATCTCTCGCTAACTTTACCTATAAGGAAACATTCAAATAAATGAAGATAACATTGTGTAAACAAATTAATGCAATGCAATAATGGATATTTACCTCGACATCGATACGTACATCGTTACTCAAATGCTCCATGCCGGGATGCAAATGAACCATTCCAGGATGATGACCCAGATTACGGAAATCTCTTCCCATCTTGTGCTCAATTTTATCGTCATGCATATTGTCAACATGATTATTTTGATCCCTATCTACATCCCTCTACAAAGATAAACATAAAAATCAATATTACATTGAATAAATATCAAAAATCATTGGCTGTATATTAATATATTTTTTTTCTTTTTTTTTCATTTTAAAAAATGTTTTAACTCACCATAGCTGGGTGATGTCCTATATTGTGAAAATTTCTCCCTAATTTCTCGGATTTGTCATCGTGTAAGTTGTCAAGACGATCAGACGGATCGATCTCCATGTCTCTCTGTAACAGAATAACAATTTTAAAATCAATGTATGCATGTATATATTCTTTATTAAATATCAAATTAAAAAAAAAAAGTTAGTCATTGATAATCTCTCTCAATATAAATGTCAATTGCTATTCGCTTAAAAGTTAAATTTACTAAAAATAAAATTACTAAAGGTAAAATTATGAAGAATAATAAACCTCGGTATCGATGTCCGACATACGATCGTGCTGATGAGAGAGATTGCGGAAATCCATTCCAACTTTGCAATCCGACTCCTCATTCAGATTATCATGATTGCGTTGTTCTCTATGGTCCCTGTCCATTTCTCTCTGTAAAACGGATGGACGCCTCCGTTAGACGTGGGCATATGTATACATCTCAGGTGCAAGATATTTCCGTGCCGATCTCATAATATGCGCGTTACCGTTCTGTTAAAACGTCGAGAGAGCGCTACTACAAACCGAAAGCGTAAACGAATGGTCTCTTTTAATGCGTGATAAACAAGCATTAATGATTTTCAGCCGGATATTGCGATTCTCAAGTCGATTTGCACGCTCGAGCATTTTTGTAACGATGCATTATGGTATGTTACAATCAAAGATTAAGGATTCAATACCGTGAAAGAGGTCAAAGAGATCTTCGTGATGAAAGGTATCTCATGTAGTTTCTTTTAAATGTTAATTCCGTTAGAATAATTTAAAAATAAGATATAATAAATAATACACGATATAATACGTGCATATATAAAAAAATAAATAAGTGAGGATAAGTTGGGAATATATAAATAAGATATAAATATATTAAGAGATATCTCAAAAAAATTAATGACAACAAATTAATAAACATGACATATATATACGTAATCAAAAAAAATGTATTAAGTACATAATAATCAATTTAATTCGATATAAATATTTATTTGTCACGAAAAAAGCGAATTAAGCTTATTTATCATTTGTTTTCGCAAAATATATGTTATGTAAAAAATAAATAAATTCCAAAAAATCTAGTTACCATCAAAAATCTAGAAAAATTCCTAAATAAACTTAATGAATTGGATACAATAATGTAACTTATAGATCGATATATCGATCACGTGTCTCGTCATTGTTCTTTGAACAAGTGCACTGTCTCGCGATAATTCGATACTGCTAGTTCTCGAGATTTCACGATTTCATCCCGAGAGAAAAATAGAGACGATCGCGCGACTCAAAAGTGCTCGAGGAACTCGATGCAGGGGCGCGGGATAAAAATGTAAACTGGAGCATTTGCCGGCCCGTCCCCACCTGCCGGGGAGAAACCTTCTCGACCCTCTCTCTTTCTCTTTCTCTGCGTCCCGCTGCCCACCCCCCTATAGCGCGTTTTGAGAGGTGAAAGAGATGGTCCCGAGCTGTTCGGTTCGTAGGTTGCTACACGGTTTGGTAGGTAGGTGCATGCTGATGTCCGGCTACGTTGCACCGACCTGCCTGTTCTAGAGAGAGAGGATCCATACGTCTCACGACGAAAACCGAGCTCGAAACCGTCGTTTTAAGATTTTGGATTTTGAATTTTAAAGATATGATGACAGAATATCTCTGCAACACACTTAAATTTGAGTGGCTGATTTTGTTGTAAATGCTTTCTTTTTTTATTTGCACAGTCTCTCTCTTTAATATCTATAATGCAATTTCGTTAATGGAAGAATTTTATATTTTTTTTTACATCAAGAGAGATTATATATAATTTCTCTTCTTTGTCGAATTGCCTTTCAAGCTTTTTAATAACTCAGCATTCTCAGGGTATGCTAGCTCATGATTAAAACGCGAAACCACCTGAAATATACATATAAGCGATTCTTATCAGCTCTTGAATTCGTTCGATGTTTGAGAGGAAAAAAACACGCTGTTATTATTGTTAGCGTACTCTTGCACAAGTGTCACAACAATCGTCGAGGTCGATTCTCGTCTGGCCTTCCGCAAAAATTTCACAACCGCGATCACTCTTGGCTACTCGATCCGAACTTTATCCATTCGATCTGGAGTCGCGACCCGCTGATAAGAGCAAACTCACTGCACGTCGCGAATAAACCTTGATAAGACGATATGTGACGATGATTCAACGCGGAAGAGTTAAACAGGAATAGGAAAAAAAAATCTGATTCATGCGATGTATAAAAATGTGGGCAGTAGCTGTCAAACGCGAAAGGTCATCGCGAAATGTGAAAGTACGACCGTCTATCTCGAAAAACCACTTTAAGCGCTTTAAAGCCCCGCGATATTCCCATATCGCGTTTAAAGTCGAACTCTAGCTCGCGAATCGGAAGACTATTTTATCGCCCGGTATTCGAGATCTCACCTTCGATTCAACGCAATGCCAAATACCACGCTTCTAAATATTACCATAGCACATACAAATTCCTCTATTCAACGCACACACTCGGACGTCATGAAAGTGCGCGCGGCTGGATCGACGCGGAATTAAAACGTCCACTGTTTTCTTCGTCACGATTAAAAAGGAAAACAATACTTTTCCACATCCGAGGATCACTTTCGATTCCGGAGACTCGAGCGAGGAGCAGAAAACTCGAGGAGCACGCGCTTGCGCGCAAAGTTCGAGGACGGAATGCACGGTAAGCTACCTGTTGTTGTCGGCTCTCTCGCCTCCTCTCGGTTCTCCGATACTCTACGATAACCGCGCGTCGCTTATACGGGTCACGGCGTGGCGGTATAAACGCGCGGAAACGCGAGGATACGTACGTTACGATGTAGCTGACCGGACGGACGCGTTCTCGCTCGTGGTTCACGCCAAGAGCCGCCACCGCCGCCGCCGTACTTCTCTCTCGTAGCAACCTTGCGTTGTACAGGTGAACGCAGGCCGGTCGGTCGGTTAGACGGGCGGGCGGGCGGACGAGCGAGCGGGCAAGCTGTTGGCTCGCACGCAGGTTGGCAGGTCACTCTCTTGTGTACCGGGCCGGGACACACGCCGGCCAGGTGCATTCCCGCTCTTGCCTGCTTTCCTCTCTTACACCCGGACCGAGCGCGCCAAGTTATGTCACGAAACATGCCTGCGATCAATCGCACGACTTCCCTCCCCCCCTTCTGCCGCCTTCCCCCTTCCTTCTTTTCCCATCCATTCCCGAAAAAGACAATGGAATTTAATGGGATTTGAATTACATAAGCGAGACAATGCTTCGTAGCGTGTACAGCTTGAAAGGAGTCGTTTAATTGAGGAGACTGGATTTTCATTTGGAATAGGTTGCATCTCCTCCAGAGTGATCGTCAGTCGACCACTGACGTCAAATGTGACCTCATCACGGGAATTGAAAAAGGTTAAAGGACGTTCAATAACGTGTCCAATGGTCGATCTAAAAATTTGCATACTGGAGGAAAAGAGATAAAGAATAATAGAAGACAAAACTTTTTACAATTACTTAATAAAAGTCAATAAAATAATGGAAAAAAATATACAATGTACGAGAAAATGGCACTGTATAATATAACGAGAATCTAAAAATAGGCAGGAGTTGTGTATCGTTTTCAGGCGCGAGAAAACCACCTAACCGCTACCACAATCGCGAGGCTGTGGCGTTGCAAAGTTTTCGGGCTTCAGGTCTCGCTATGCGAGGCGAACGCGTTCACCGTGGTGCGCGGCTTCTCTCTGGTGAACGTTATGTCATGTAACACGCGTCCGCGCGATGACTTATCGGCCGACGCCGTCGAGGTCGCCGCGACTGAGAATAGGTCGGACGCGCATGGCCGCGGATTAATATCGCGTCGTTTATGACTTGGCGCGCTCTTTGTGCGATACCGCGATATTTCGGATGAGCGGACGACGCGTTATCGCGGAACGGATAAGGAAATATAACGGCGGAAACTTTAGTACCTGCTATTATTTAATAACAAGAGTCGAGAGAGAGAAAGAGAGAGAGAGAGAGAAAGAGAGAGCTCTGGCTTTCGTTTGGTCATCGAGATAAATGTCAAGTATTTCTTTGTTCGCTTCTGTAAAAAAGAAACGGATACAGATTTCCGTTCCTTTTTTTCTTTTGTTCTAAACTATAATATATATATATATATATATATATATATATATATATATACGTACTCGCGTTTTTTCTTCGCATACGTCAGCGATCGGTTACCTTGTGCTCGGTGACGAACCCGTTCTAAGGATTTCTCAGGTATGCGTTTATAGGTATCCTTTGCATTGTTTAGCGAATGCGTACGACAATCGACTGGCGATACACATCATTGTACTTCTCGCTTGTTTATACTCTTATCAACGAGTAGATTATAGATAGGTATTCGACGAACGTGTCTTAATCGCGGCAGGTATGAGCTTTGTCACGATCTGATGGGCCGGTTCGTATCGTGTCAACCGATAGCGTTAATTAATTCTGTCTGTAAATATATCTATTGTTCTTTCGCGCGATAGTTGAAGTAAGCAAAGATCGCCTTCCGATATTTGATACGAAAAAAGTTACGATATAATATTAAATTTCAAGTACGCGTGGAGATTTTATTTCGTCAAATTTCGAGTTGAGACAACTCGTCACGTTTTTTTGCGTCTCCTTAGAAAGATTTTCACAGAATTCCTTTAACTCGTTATTTTATATTTTTAAATGTTACGATGATTTTCGTCCGACTAAAGGAACTTTCCGAATGGCCATTTCCAACAATTTCAAGCCTAGACTTTTCTCGGAATCGCTAACGCAGCCATGAGAAAAATAATTGTCGGCGAGTGATTATGTTTGTACAATAGAGCGGTCCTCCGGCAGGTAAAGGTCGTTTGCGAGTCCGAAGGTTACCTCCTCTCTACTTACCTCTACCCACCATGATCGCACGTATTGGCACGGATTTATCTTCGTCCCACCCGACAATGCATCGGAGTCTATCGAATGGTATGTAATTTTTTTTTCGAAAAACAAAAGGAGACGCGACAACTATATAAATTTGCACGCGAGAAAGGGACGTCCAAAAATAAAATTGCGCACGCAGAAAAACACGTGTGTGACTCCGAATCGACTCGCAGCTTTGTTCCCTCTTCACGATTACGTTATCAAAAGTAGTCTAGCGTTTCCTTCTTGCACATGTGGTGCTTCAGAATTATTGCTACACTCTCGAATACGTATTTGAACGTGAAATACATGTATATTCCTTGACAGCTGCGCGAGAGATACGACTTGTTTTTCTGTTTGCGAGAATAATTAGGCTTCCTTCGAACGTCTCGGTCTACGAGAAACTATGCATTTTCAGGGAATATAACGCTATTTATCGTCAAGGTGAGGCATTCTGTGTACGAAAGCGTTACGTCAGAGAGGAGCGTAAAACGCCCCGAGACTTTCACGGAATCTGAATTCGCGCGACCGAACGCGAAACTTGTGTCACCTCTTCCGCGCCCTTCGATCCCGGGGAAACGCAACATCTCCGACGCAGACACTAAAACGCCCGTCCGAAATAACTCGACGCGTAACGAAGAGACGGAGCGCAGGTTGCGGTAGGAAGCCTGCGATTTCGCGCTGACACCATTCAAGCGTTCGAGGAGCACGAAACGCTCTCGGACCCGACTATCGCCGCACTAAATTCTCCTCCCCGCTCGTGTCGGCTAACCCGGAATCCGTCGTGTCAGACAGAATCGGTCGTCACCTCCGCGCGATTCAATCTCGGAAGTCCCTGACGAAAAGGGACGCGAGAGGGAAAGAAAAAGAAAGAAACGGAGGAACGCTTCGAGCTCTCGCGTCACATTTTCGTCGACGACGATGACGACGCCCGAACGTTATCGCGTTTCCTTCCTCGGAAAGTCGAGGCGGACACGCAAACGCGAACACAAATCGCGGAGCCGTAGCTCACGAGACGTCTCGACGGCGCTCCTTCTACGAGAACGGATCTCGCAGGAGGAGAGGAACCATGCGATCCGGTGAACTCACCTTCGCGGCCAGCAGCGACGACGACTGATCCGATCGTGCGTCATCAGAACCGTTCATAGCGGGCTGGTAGCTACCAGGCTTCGTTGTGCGCACATCCGCGGGTTAGAGTTCATAACCTCCTCTAACCTTTACCTTTTCGCCGTCTCCTGTCCCCCTACTCCGCCCGGCCTCGCCCCCTGCCGCTCTCACCTTCCTGCGCGTACCTGACATCTCACATCCCCCGCTGCGTCATCGAATACGTGTCATCTTGCGAAAGTAAGATCGATGACAAGTTTTTGGATGCTGCGATACGCAGCGCCGCGGCAGGAAACGGCGCGAACTATCTGCAGCCATGTTGATACGTCATTTCAAGACGGGATGAGAGCTTAATTTGAAAAAAAAAAAAAAAAAAACGCGTCAGATTAATTAATTTTTTTTCGTGTGATTTTATGCAATAATTCATGGAAAATTTTAGGAAATATATCACATTATGGTATAAATAATATAAGTGTAACTTAATAAAATCTTGTTAAAATTAAATTCATTGAATGTTAAAATTTCAGAAATGTAAATAGATTGTTCTATTTCTTATATATATTTGTATGTGATTTAAAATAAAACTTTGAATACAACTGATTTTATACCATTCTATAATATAAAGATTTAATATAGATATAAACATGATAATTGGATTATAGACAGTGTTAATTCTTTAAAAAAAACAATGAAATTTATACAATATTTTACATACAATACGAAACACATGCATTGTCTCTTTAAAATTTATTCAAGTCATAAAAATATTGCAAAAAAGACCTGATAATTTTCCTCCAAAACAGATTAGATAATAAATGAAGAATTGTAGAGAGACATCAAATATGAAAAAGATTAGTTTATTGCAAATGTCGCACAATGTGGGGGAAGGGTACATACAGCTTTCTTTCTGTATATTTATTACGAAAGCTTTATCATAAAATGTAATATAACTACTGCTAGTATCACTACTGTCCTTAATTTAATCCTAGCTATGTTTGTTTCAATTGCACTTTTTACGCTTTATTCCTTGTCTCTTTTCTCTCTCCAAAGCTCGGATATATACCTATTTCATTTTAAGCGTAGAAAGCGTAAGAAAGTGCGATTAAAACATTCTTATTAGGATATATTTCGTTTCTTGTTAAATATTTTGCGTTGTATGATGACTATGTCAAAATTGCATAATACTTAAAAATTATCATACAATGCCAATCGCTTATGAAATAAAGTTAATTTGCATAAAAGCTACAATATTTTGTACCACAGTATTAAAAAAAGTTTCACTATTATTAGAAATATAGTCTTAAATTTAAAATTGCATCTGATTATACAGTATAACACACAAGTATTTTAGTACTTATTTACATGAGAAAAAATATGACTGTTATATAATGTAGATGCACAAAACAATGGATATCAGGATTTCAGCTATAATGTAGACTTGAAGCTTAAAGATACTATATATCAATGTACAAATATTTAACTATTTTTATGCAATATTTAAAAAGTTTCAGAAACATACTTGCATTCATTCTGATTTTCTTGCATAATTCCTTAATAATAAATTTTTGCGCTTTTGGTAACTTATTGCATAAGTATACCACAAAAGAGGATACTTTGTCAAGTTATCTAAAAACATTACACTGTGAAGAGAGAATTTTCTCTAATTAAAATAGTATCCAAGTACCTTCATTGTATATTGTGAATTCGATGGAGCGCAAATTCATATATCCTGTGTAAAACTTAAATATAATTTCACAAGAATTTAACATATCACCGTACATTTCACACTGCATATTATATACATGAACACTTTTGTTAATGTCTTAGTATTGTGTGATAAAAATAATACTTGAAGATTTTATCATAGAAAGATATTTTCATCAATAGTCTTGAGGAAACTAATCAGAAACACATAAAAGTATATCATTAGTCAAAAATATTAGTGGAATCTTAAAAAACGAGAATTTTGTTGAACTAGTATTATATCCATTTTGATTTTGTTCTCATATTTAGATGTTTGTGTAATGGCAATAAACAACACTATATACAAAAGCTATTGAAATAATTATGTAAATTTTAAATTGGTCTAAACAAACTAAGAAACTGGCCTATTATATAAATTACTTGTAATAGAATAATCAAGTTGAACAAAAACCATATTTGAAACTTATTATGATCACAAATTTGTTTTTATGAAGATGAAAGTGTGGATACATATGGGAAAAACCAGAAGATGAATCTCCATAAATCTTTTCCTTATACCCATTAAAAAAAGAAAAAGTGAAATCTGCATTACACATCTTTACCTATAACTTATCATTATGTAGCCTATTGCTATTAAAATTAACAATAGAAATTGCCATTATTAGTAGTAAACTAAGTAGATGCTATGCTAACTTATATATCAAATGTAATTTATCCATGTGTCAAAAGTAGAAAGCACCGTAATGATTTTATATATAGGTTCCAAATATGATTGTTCTGTTAATTATTCCAGCAGGTACCGTCAGTTGATCACAAAGATTCTGCACAATCAATTAAAGGCAGATAGAGTTGCTAGCAGATCTAAATCCCCACAAAATTTCACGTAAACATCTATCAAGGTATTTTTAAGTGCCAAGGAGGTATTTTGTTTTTACCTGTAATTTTATGCATTAATTGTTAATTAAGTTAAAAAAGTAAGATTATTAAAAGTTGTTTTTTACTCAGTTGTTTTGCCTCTGATGTTAATGACCACCAAATACATCCTGGCTGGCAAACACGATATAAAGAAAACCATCTGGATCTTTTTCATTCTGATACAGCTCAGCCATAGTTAAACTTCCGCTTACTATACTTTTCTGATTTACTAATAAGAAAATTGCTTGTGTTGGATTTAGCTGCAACCGACGTCTTTGCAAAAAAAGAAAAAAAAATTATATATATATATATATATATATATATATATATATATATATAATTAATTATATATTGTATAACATTTTAAATCTAATTTCTCATGTGTTTATAAAAATATACCTGATTATTTTACAGAATTCCGCCACAGTTAGAAAATCTGGCACCAAATATTTGCTTTTGTCCAAAAGTGGCAGTTGATTCTCTAATTTATAACGCTCCACAATGATAGGAATTTTATTTGGATGCAGAGATCTGATTTCTTCCGCACTGACCCATCGCTGTTCTAAATTAACATAAAGAAATATCAATTATATATTTATATATTTAGCTGTAATATATCTTTTTACAAACGTTTATATATTTAGCTGTAATATATCATTTTATAAACGTTTCATCCCTAAAATATTAAAATAAAATCTTATAACCTATATTACGTAATGTTAGATCAAAAATTACGATACAATAAATTTTTGAAAATTTCTTTTTGTTTTAAAGCGAAATCCTCGTTTGACATAATCGATTACACAAACGCATTGCTCACCAAAAGGATACTTCCTCTTAAACCTTGAATTCTCAGAATGCATTTTTCCGAATATACCGAAATGTAATTGTTGCTCTATTTAATACAACTCTATCTAATACAACAAAGTAGAAACATTAAGTAGAAAATTATAATAAAAAAATATAAATTTAAAAAACAATTCTCTTTCTTTGAATCGACTGTTTTACGTGCTGGATTACCGTGTCGCGCGATATGAAATGCAGAAATCGTCTCGACCGAAATGTGCACTGCAAACATGCATGCGTTGCAGCATTCTTTTTTTTTTCATCATGTCCTTTTACAATCTCTTGCAATCGCGTGTTCGTAACTTAGTCATCGAACGTGTTTGTCAACTTATATCAATAAAGAAATCAGGTGAAACGATTTATTTTATCGCTTCATTTTATAAGATAACATCAGATAAAAAATATAAAAAAATAAAGCTCTCTTTCGCTCTCTCTCTCTCTTTGTTTCTCAATTCGTCTGACGAGATTCGGTTATTTAATGTGCTCGGGGACTTCAGATTGAACTTAAGTTTCGTAAAGCGAAAATAACTTGAAAAGGACGATTTTTAAATATTTCAAGTATCTTTTGCATGCCAGGTCAAAGGTCAGGTCAGGTTAAGATATAATCCCTTTGTTCTCGTATCTACATATCTGTCCTACTCTATTTCTAATTACACGTTATCGTTTTGATGCTATCTCACGTATAAACATGCGGTACTCACCAAACGTACGTCTTTCTTTGTACGATCTTCTAGGTGTCAAATTCATGTTCGTTGTAATATTATAATGCACTATCACCTACTGCGACGTACGCGACGCACTATCAGCTGTGGACTCGCTCTCGGGTCAAAATAACGCTAGTATGTCCAACGACGCTGTATCGTTAGGTTGGGTTAAGTTAGGTGGGTCTGACAAGACGCACCATTCGCAACTACGCAATCAATCAAGAAGATAGTCCCCTTAACTACGCAGAAAAAGGATATTGCTCTGGAATAAAAACTATTGACAAAAATGATAAAGTTGTATCAACCAACGTAAGAAAGGCAGTAAGAGCAAGATTCTTATTTTTTCGTTTACAGCGATATATCATTATTACAAGGGATGTGCGATATTATTCTATTGTAAAGTAATAAGAATTGTATGAAGTATTTTAAATAATCTGTACATATTTTAGGCAAATGTGTATAAATTATCTGCGAGAAAAAAATTCTTTAGAATCATGCACGTATGATATATATTTCATATATTATTTTTTTCGCAGATTTAGAGCATAATTTTGAAAATTTTTATACCAATGGATCGTTTGTTAAAGCTATCATTTAGTAGATTATATGAAGTTTCAGGAATATATATCTGCACCTGTCATAAAAATCACATGTTTTATGACAGGTACAGACGTATTATATATTCTTGAAAATTTACATAATTTATTATATAAATATTTACCGATATTTTTGCATTTTTCTCAAGCAAATTTCGATTAATTTAATCGATATTTGAATCAACTGTTACAATCCGTTCACGATTTCTAGCTATATAATTTGTCAATTCTAATCTCATTTCTCTAATTTGATCCTTCCCTTCGCGCTTCAAATAAGAGAAATTATATAATAATTACATCTGTATTGATAAAATATAACATAAAATGTGTATGTTACTTTTCCTAAATTAATCAAGATTGTATTAATTTTAATTTGATCAATGACCCTAAAAATATCTCGCTCGTTCCTTCGGAATATTTAAAAAGATCCAATTTTAATAAACTCATATTCGACCGATAATGTATTCCAGTACGAAATCTCCAAGACGATATATCACGAAGCGGAGTGATTAAAATTCGTTTGAAAAAATACGAAAACAATAGAAGCCCCTTATTCTAGGATCGTTAGCAACCGAGGCTGTCCCTCTATTCTATTTTGAAATCTTCCCTCGATCCATTTATTCTTAGATACGTGCGCAGAATGAAAACCTTCCGCGTTCTATCCTGCACTCGCTTTCTCGCTCTACGCGTAGCAGTCGTCCGGCAAAAATGCAAAGCGAGAGCTGACAGATGGAACAGCTGTTTCAGAATACAGACGAGTCCAGAATAAAGGAAAAGATAGAGGGGGAGCGCCTACCGTGCATCCTCGCGTTGGCAGGTACCGCCCTCTCGCGAGCAGACGGCGCTTCCCATCCTCGGCGACAGTCTCGGCGAATCTGTTCTGCATTGTCCCGCGAAATCCGCGACAACGCGCGTCTCCGCCATGAAGCACAAAGTACGCACGCGGGGACTCGCGTCACCTGTCAAACGAGCTCGGCTCGAGCAAGGATTGTCGTAGATGCGAACTCGAGAAGAACGAGACTCTCCTCTCGACGATAATCGCTCCCGGCCGTCAGATTGGACGGCGTCGATTCGCGAGCGCTCGAACGGCCATCTAAGTGAAACGACACGTTCCGCGGCAACGCGGAGTGTGTTGCTGCGTGTCGCGAACGGCGACGGCGGCGGCACAACGGAGTGCGTACGTATATACGGACGGACGGTGATGTACAGCGTGCGGCGCGCGAGATAGAGAGACGGAAAGGAGAGAGAGAGAGAGAGAGAGAAGGAAGGAAGGAGGCGTTTTTCCGACCGGCTCTGACGGCGCGCGCGAAGGGGCGGCGGTCTCGCCGAGCGAAAGATCAACAAAGGGAGCGAAGCCGCTCGGTTTCCGAACGACGACGTCGTCGCGGCCAGGAGGTCCCCGGACGAGCGAGACGGAGAGCTGGCGGAAAGCGGAGCGTCCCCCCCCCCCCGCGCGAGCGAACACCTGTGCGTGATGCGAGGCGGGTGTGCGGACAGTGCATCCCGACACTGCAGCTCGTGCGTACGTACGCACGGGACGGGAGACGAGTAGTCGTGCAGGAGTCGCCGGAAGCAGCGGTCGCGTCGCGCCGCCGCGCGTAACCGTTAAAGATCCGTCCTCGCGTACATCACGGCGTGTGATTCTCATCCCCCCTCGCCCCCCGCTACCCCTCCCCTGTCGGGGCATTAACACGAGGAACCGTCGCGCGGTGCGAGTTTCGATCGTGTGCGAGTGCGCGCGTGTGTGTCCGGTGCTCTACGTACGTGTTCTCTGTTTTGTAGCCGGATATCAACCCCGGTCGTCAACAGTTCCCGACTTTGACGTTTCGACCGACGTTCCGTCGACGTTTCGTGCGGGGTTGGAAAAAGAATAAACATGGTGGTGGTGGTGCGAGAGCGCGACGAGATCGAGCGAGACGGACAGACGGATAGTTAGACGGAGAAGGAAAGAGTCTCGCGAGAGAGAGCGAGAGGAGGAGCGACGACGGCGGCAGCAGTGTGGCAGCGATCGGCCAGCAGTCGGTTCGCCAGAAGCGACGAATTCGATCGGCGCTTCCTTTGTCCGCGCTTCGAGAGAGAGAGAAAGAGAGAGGGAAGGGAAGCGATTCGCGGTGAGACACGCGGCCCGATTGATGTCAACGATACGACGACGTTTCGCGCGACCCTCGAGACGCGGCCTGCGAGTTTGCATCGTCGCCCGACTCGATTTTCGTGCACGCTGTCAACACGCCGCTGTCCAAGGGCACTAAAGTGTCAGCCGGGATTCTCATCGCGTCATCCAGCCGCGACGTTACTAATCGACGAACGACGGCGACGACGACGTCGCGGTGCATGGTGTTATGTCGTCGCCGACCGAGAGCCGCGTGATTCGTCGGTGCCGGTGACGAAAAGCGTCCGTTCCCGACGAAGAGAGGACGGGATTAGGATGTGAGAAAGGTGGAAGGTATCTCGTGGAGAAAGAGAGAGGCGGAAGGGGAGAGAGGAAAATTTGGGAAACGATTCTCCCACACGGCCATTCGGGTATCTAATCAAAAGAAGAGAGGAAAAATACACTCATTGCTCGAGACTATAACCGGTGAGTGCGAACGAGTGCGCGCGAAATTTGTCATTCGCCTCAAGTGTACTTGTTAAGTGAATGTTTATGTAAATCGACAGGTAAATCAGCGGAAAGGCGGAGGATACGATCTATAATCGCGGCGAGAGGAGCGGCAGTTTCTGGCCATCGAATCGACAACAATGAGACTCGGGCCGGCGAGTCGCGAAGATCCGGCGACTAGATTTCCCGAGGGTATTTTCGGGCGCTGACGAACGGCGTCGAACGGAACAGCAGCGGCACGGCAACAGCGACTGCGACGTAGTCGTCAAATTCGCGACGGCCCGGTGCCAATAACCTCCGTGTAACCAGTCGGAGGTTGGGTAGGCCGCTTCCTCGCACGGCGATGATGCGTTCGCCCTCGTCGCGCGCGACAGATCGTAAAATTAGAAGACGCGAGGAGGCCCGCGAAGCCGAAAAGAGAGACGTCGCGAGCGAGCGACGACGAAGAAGAAAAGGCCCGGATGGTAGGCACCGGCTGACGATGTTCAACGTGCGGGACTCCCGCTGGCGGATCGACGCGTGTGACGGTGTACGTGAGGAAAGTGCGGTTCCATAGTTCCTCCTCTCTTCGCGCGAGTGCGAGGATCGCCTTCGTGTTCAAGAGTCGGGCTCTGACCATCGACCGAGAGGATATCGGTCGATTAAACCCGCGCCCGGCGTCTTAACTCGTCGAAACGCGAGTGCAACTTGTCTAGTCTGCTGCATTTACTTGTGCGAGGATCGCCGCGATTCCCGGGGATGCAATTAGAGGAATTGATTTCGTCGGCAGGCAGCTCCACGTGCGATTCACTCCGACGAGTCTTGAGTTTCTGACGCAATCGCACATTCCCGTCCGGGAGCTAGGCATTTTCCGGCTTTCCTCGGAACGAGACTGACCCGTCGCGGGTTCCTGTAGTCGATTATAATTTATTCAAACCGCGCTGTCAAACGCAGCATGTCTCTCGTCCAGTTTGGGCTATTATTCTTCGACGCGTCCGGCGAGGGGGCGAGAAAACGCGGAGAATCGCTGATCGCACCGCGCTGATCCACTAGTATTTCGCGTATCATCCCGATGACGAGCCTCGACAAGGACAAAACAGAGCGAACGCGAACAAATGGGCACCAATGATTAGCTTGGCTCTATCGGCGGCGGCAAGCAGGATCGAGATGCCCCTCTCCAAATCGAATCCGTTCGTGCCGGCGAGCGCAATCTCGACGCAGCCGTACATCTCGAGCAGCGAGAGCAGCAATCATCTGCCGCCGATCATCAAAGGTACCGGGCTGAAGCAGACCGGTGGCGGTGGCGGCGGCGGCGGAGGCGGAGGCGGCGGTGGTGACGAGTCCGTGCCTTACCCGGGTTATCAGAGACTACCGTGGAAAGGCGAGAGCCTGAATAACTGGCCCGTGAGCCACAACCCCAGTCACAACTCGCACTCGCAGCCCAACAGCCAGTCGAGCAGCCCGGTCGTGAGAAACGGACGTTCCGATGGCAACTCCAATAGCGGTAGCGGCCGCGGGGGGGCCGGGGGCGGCGGCGAGGGTGGAGGAAACGGCGGTAGCGGCAGCAACAGCATCGTCAGCGTCAAACCGAAGACGGCGACCATCACGCCGGAGATGGTGATGAAGCTGTACATGAACAAGCTGACGCCTTACGAGCATCACGAGATCTTCAACTACCAGCAGATCTACTTCATCGGCGCGAATGCGAAGAAGCGGCCGGGCATCATCGGTCGGCCCAACAACAACGAGTACGACAACGAACAGGGCTCGTACATCCATGTGCCCCACGACCACGTGGCGTATCGCTACGAGGTGCTGCGCGTGATCGGCAAGGGCTCGTTCGGCCAGGTGGTCAAGGCCTACGATCATAAGACGCACGAGCACGTGGCGCTCAAGATGGTGCGCAACGAAAAGCGCTTCCACCGTCAGGCGCACGAGGAAATACGCATATTGCGTAAGCTGCGCGAGCAGGACAAGGACAACACCATGAACATCATTCACATGTTCGACTCGTTCACCTTCCGCTGTCACATGTGCATCACCTTCGAGCTGCTCAGCATCAATTTGTACGAGCTCATCAAGAAGAACAACTTCAAGGGCTTCAGTTTGCAACTCGTGCGCAAGTTCTCGCACTCGCTGCTGCTCTGCCTGGATGCGCTCTACAAGAACAAGATTATACACTGCGACATGAAGCCGGAGAACGTGTTGCTCAAGCAGCAGGGTCGCAGCGGCATCAAGGTGATTACATACAATATTCACGTTGGCCCTGTAAACTCAAAGTTTCAAATACCGCTTATTTGCAAGGCTCTCGCAAATTTCCCGACGCGTTTCTATTAGATTACACGATGTAAAAATAATTTTACAGGTTAATAGTCTGCCGTACTTCCATAAAGATGAGCATGTTGTATTTTAAAAAATTTATAAGCAACTTTTCGTCGAAAATATTGCGTGGAATAGACGATTAAGCGAGTAGAATCGCGATTGTATCTAAACTTTCGTGTATTAAAAAACGATTAAGAGAATTTTAAAGTTAAAAGAAAATTAAATTGATAAATTTCTTTACAAATTATTATTAAAAATAAATTCAAACCCTATTAAACTCTTCAATTAATAATCTTGCAATTTTACTTTCGGATCGCGAATTAATGCTTTTATTATTGTGTAATTTGAAGTCAAATTTCTTTTTTTAGAGAAAATACAATATTTACAAACAAAAACCGAAGCCATCTATCCTCGTCTGAGATTCGAGACGGTGAAATTAATTCTCGATAACACACGATTTTTCTTTCTGATAATATTTGCAAAACAAGATCTCGAGTTTCTCTCGATGGCATTTCAAGGAGCCACTTATTATTCCTCGTAATGCGAGTCTTTATTGACATTTCTTTATATGGTTTGCACACGGAAGACTTTATTGCTTCCCTTCGAAATAACGACATACCGATGACGTACATTAAAAAGAATGACATTCTATGCAAGATCTATTTTTTTTTTTATTCATCCGTTCACCTAAATTTCGTTCTTTTGCGCACGTTTCCGATATTCTGTCAAATGTTGAAATGTATTACTTATATTTGATTTTTATTTCATTTTTTTGCACACGTTTCTTTACTTTTGTGAAATTGACCTTTCAATTAAAGTTAATGGATAAACCGTTTCGCCCACGAAACATTTTCCGTATACACAGCCGCGACCTTTAGCCCCGTTTTCCGAACATTCGATATCGAGAGAAATCGCGCAGGAAGCTGTCAAAGACTGCTTTTTCCCTCGTGAATAATACGACATACACGTCGCACCGCGCTTCCAAAACCTCCGACCGGATTCCACGAATTCACGGTTAACCGACAGACCAAAAAGAACGCGCGGATGCGGGAAACGATCTCTCTTGTCTCTAACTGTGCAGATACCGCAAGACGTAAACGCTGTTAAATGGCTCCCGTTCATGTTAAACACGCACCCGTGCTACACTTGCGACGATTCGCACTGCACGTTTTCGAGCAACATGTTTGTCGGAGATGGTGGTCTTAAGAGGTAACATGAATATCGCATCTCGCATATTGACTATCTTCTCATATACCGAGTAAGGTGTATTATTTACTGGAAATGGTGTTCGCATATATGCATATAAGGATAGTAGAAATTTTTCTGTTAGTATTATTACATTTTTCAAGCAATAATCTGTACTCGCCCATTAGGAACGATTCCATTTATGCTTTTAACGGTAATTGGTAATATACATAGTACATGTGAAGTGTCCTTCTGTCATCGTTGTAATACAACACATACAAATTCATAATAAATATTCTAAATAATATTCTAAATCATAATAAATATTTAAATATTCTATAACGAGAATTATACAAAAATACTTAACACATTACACTAATAAATATTTTATACCAATTAGTTTCAATTAACATCTAATCAAAAATATTTCTTTCAAGAAAATTGCTAACTTTTTTAAAAATTATTATGCGTATTTTATCATACGTTTATTTTACACATATTTATAATTCTTTTAATTGTGAAAAGTTTTATTAAATAAATATGAATATCAATATGAATATCAATATATTTCTTATCAATATACCAATATTATATAAGGATCTTTATATTCGGATCGCGTGTATATATCATTTAATTATTTTAAATGTTATTTAAAGGTGTATCGTGGATAATATCCGATTATCTAGTTTCGAGGTCCTCGATCCCCTACCTTGTCGTCTCGTCAGTAAATGTGCAAGAATGCGTACAAGCGGAATCATGTTACTTCCGCCAACTGTAGCATTCGCACGCAAGTTCACAAAACTTTCCGAGAGTAAGGCCTGTCTACGCTGGATCGTGACCTTGCGAGGCCGCGCGGTAGAGTTTACTTTGATGCCGAGGCGTTCGCGCCAGGTCGTAAAGCTAAGGGGCTAAGTGCTGAAAATGGGCAAAAATTAGATTTGCTTGCTCCTTCTAAATGGCCGTAACCGACACGACGGGTGGCCTCTCCAATAGCCTTACGATGCTTGAAGTTTGAGACCGATCGGTGCGTAGCACGTGATTCCTTCCACGATTCGTGATTGCTTTTTTAATGTTTGACAAGGTATTTAACGATCCTTTATTTTGATTTAGAGACGCGATTCGAAATCGTATCAACGATTTTCAAAACGAGTTGAATTTTCTGACAAAATGATGCATTCCCTCGTTCTTATTTTGCACGCGAGAACATTGATTAATTACTTTATTTAATATAATGTTTAATAATATATTAAATAAAGTAAATTATATTATTATTATATTATAATATTTAATAAAATAATTATATTATAATATTAATATTATATTATTATTAAAATGTTTAATAATAATATAATATTTAATTTATTAAAATAACAAATAAAATAATATTAAAGATCAATCTATATAACTCCTATGACACAACTTTGACATGATTTCCAAGAAATTGATGTTATGTAACGACTCCATTATCTAATGACAGTGCTTTTCAATAGCACTATCTGCATTGTATAATCAAGAAAATTCCCAAAGAAAGAAAAAGCATTACTAGCGGAAATCTTCACTGAGGTGTGAATAAAGATTGAATGCGGAGCAATGAGTCGTGTCGAGGCGCAAAATCAAATCCGGATTAAGCCAGTGCCAGTTGTTTCTTTCTCGAAATGTGATTTTTCATGGTTGCATAATTAACGGATTTGTTTGGAGACTTTGAGAACGCGATATTTAACGCGATTCAATGTCGACGGGAATGCGGCGCAAAAGTAAAAGTAGAACAATAATTACTTGTAGGATTTCGGAAATAATCGTCAAAGTCGCGGAACAAAATTCTATGGAAGTAAAAATCAATTATGATTCGTAACAATATTTCCGGTAATAATTGTCGAGGACCCGAGAATATGAATATTCAAAATCGGTATCGTTTAAAAAAATTATTGTAATTTTCCAATCCAACTTTTCTAATATCTAAGTTCGTGACTTTCGCTGAGCGTCTCTTCTCATGTCGTGTTATCATTATCCGCATTAAGACATAATTGATTTTGAAATGATTAAGAAGATGTTTCGACAAGGACGCGACACGCACGATATCATTGATTTTTTGACACGTGCCACTGTGTTTCGTCTGCTTTCCTTTCCTCTCTTACTTGATATCTAAAATAGATCACTATTTGATGATAAAATGTCATTTGTGCCCCTAATAATATATTACTTCATATTCAGCATCGTATAATTAATATGTAGTAGATATATAGATAATTTATATTATAATTATAAATGCGTGCAGAATGAAAAAGTAAATTGAATTGAACTTGTCAATTAATTAAATCAAATTGATGAAAATAACGTCGGAAATTACGCGTCAGAAATGCGCTTCAAACATTAATTATTATACGAATAAAAGTGTTAATATCACATGTCACTATATTTACTCTTTGCAATCTATATATTTTTGGTCATAAATATATAAGAAAAAAGAGAAAGTATTTTATAGAGAGGGAAATTATTTATATTTAATAAAATTATATTTAATATTTATAGTTAATAACATATTTATGTGTGTGTATGTGTGTGTGTATGTATTATGTATGTGTGTGTGTGTGTGTGTGTGTGTGTGTGTGTGTGTGTGTATATATATATATATATATGTATGTATGTATGATACAGATTAGAAAGCGCGTAAATTTTGTATGTAAATAGAAAGCTTGCATACACACATACATTTTTAATGAATGACATAGTTTAATTAATATCACACACAGTATTTAGAGTGAGTAAAAGTTTGAAGAATGTCAGGTATTTATTAATTATAGATAAGGAATACGCGCTCAAATATGTATGTGTGTATCATTTTATATGATATCGCGAATTCCGTTTTGATGAGAATAAACGGATGTCATGTCTGTGAATTATTTTTCCCATTGTCTGCACGTTTCCTATTGCAATGAATAGATTGCAATGAATGTATTCTCAATATCCTTTCAGCTTTAAAAATTTTTGTCTCTCTTTCAACAGGCGTTTATTATCGACTTGGATTAATTGACAATCAAGATGTATGATATTACTCTTGTCATAACAACTTTCTAATTTAAATATTCATTAGAGCAAGTTATATATTCAATTTCTGTTATCTAAATTTATACATTTAATGATTGAGAGAATTAAGAAAATTTAAACAATTATAATAATTGCATAATTTACACTTTAGAAATTTAAACACAGCAATTAAAATAAAAAAATAAAAGATTATTGTTCTCCTAATTTGTACATTTTTTTCATATTATCAATTATTTACATTACAAATGAAAATCCTGAGACTCATAATTTTTACACGCACAAGATTTGGTGTCAAACTCGAATTTTTAGTTTCGCGAATGTGTTAACTCGATAACTGCAATTTTCAGTTGGTATTTAATCATCCGTGGCGATATTGTAATGTATGATGTTCGCATGGTATGCTCGGCATGGAATGAAAAGCACGCTCGAAATTTGATAGGTGCGGAATCCCACATCACAGATATATATACGGGAATATATTTACCATCGATTTCTCGATGCAGTTTTGAATGTAAATTAAGTGTTACGAGACATGCCTATCGCGAGATTGGATTTGCGTGTACCGCGGAATGAAATTGAAAAGAATTAAATTGTTTTATATTTTAGCCCTTTTTAGGGGAATGCGGTTATATTTCTCAAAGTTAAAATAAAAGGAGACAATACAAACGCGAATTAATTGTTTATTG